GACTTTATATCAGTACTCAGTAGACTTCCGGAATTAGTAACATATTATAATATAGAATTTTTTTGTGATAAAATTACATACCCAGGTTTCGACTGTTTCGAGTAATCATTTATCAAATTCAAATACATGGCTGTATTTTGGATAATCATATTGGTTGGTAGGTCCGTCCTCCGTTGACATAAAAACCATATTATAACACCTAATTGCATTTTCATTTTTTATCAGTTGTAAATATAGATAGTGTAGTTAGCAATTAAGTTATCCTCAGGAAAAGAACGTAATGAATATTAAATAATAATTAACCTAGATGTTGTGTACTTTTGTATTTTAAATTAAATTTTATGATGATATTTAGTTCAGCAATTTGCATGTTGGTGAAAATATCTTGATGAGACGGATCACCTAACATCAGATAAACTCATCAAGAAACCAGTTTTTGAATGATCGACTTCAATTAGTTATATTCCGTAAGACTTTTGCTTTTCCAATTTGCTTGTTTGTTGCTCATAAGTATTTGTGGTCTTTAACTAATTTTGTATAACTAGCGAGTACTAAATGGTATTTCATGCTATTGATTTGATTACAGTGTCTTAATGGCTCACGTGAGTACAAGTGAGGCTGGCAAGTGTGAAAGATTACAAAAGAATCTCTTAAACTCTGTGAAACAATGTCAAAAACGGTTTGGCAGTTCTTCTGAAATAGCGACTGAATCTGATCAGGAAGTCTCTAACTTGTGTCAGTGCATTGAAGCTATATTGAGTCATGGATTGAAATCAATCAATACAGAAGACAAGTAAGAATCATGAAAATGTTGCTTTCACTTGGGTTGCATAAACCTTTATTGTATCGTGGTTTTAGAAGTTCATTGTTGAAACGGCAAGTGACAAAAATCGTTACTGGTCTTTCAGATGGAGACAAAAGTCAAAATCGTCTTATTCCATTTTGGTGTTTTGTTAAAGAAATATTAAATGAACCAGAAATACAACGATTTGAAATGTTATCAAACATTAAAAACGATTATGGTCGAGGTAAAGCTTGGTTAAGAGCATCCATTAATGAACGGTGCTTGGAAAAATATATGCAATTATGTATTAACAATGAAAATCTAATCAATCGATTCTATGAAAAATGGGCTTTTATGAGCAATACAGAAAAAAATTCAATATTGCCCATCACTGCTGCTGGTTGGTATCATACCATGTACATTTTATATCAAATTGTAGTGTATTTTATAGTTTAAAACATTATTGTTTTTTTTTTTCAGGTTTATCATCAATAGTATTTGCTTTGACAATAGATAAAATCGAATTCAATAAAGATGTCTTAGATTTCACATTTAATGAACCAATTATTTATGGAGGTATTATTTTTATTTTTAAATTTTATTTATTATCCATCCCATTTATTTTAATAATTTTTTTTCTTATATTCTGAAAATATAATCAAAGTTTATTTTTAAAAGAAAAATTTTATTTGTAGTAGTAATGTACTGACTCATAACAAGGTTCAAATCCAATACAGTTAAGTACCATCATGGTACTTCACAAATGTAACTTTTTGAATGATTTTGAACTAATATGTATTGATATGCTCTAATGTTTTCCTTGAAATCTTGAAGATCAATATTGAAAAAAATACTTTTTTTTTTAGCAAAATTTGGTTTTCTTTATCTTAAAAGCAATATTATAGTTATGGTTTGAATATAAAATTTGATTTTTTTACAGTTAACAGCAAAAGTTAAAAATTATATTTTATTGATTAGTTTTGTTTAATTTCTATTATATTTTACATTATAGATACTAATTTAATATTAAAAAAGGAAAATAGTGGAAAAATTAAAAAAATTAAAGCAAATGTTATACATTTTGATCAAAGTGAAGATGATATTCAAACAGCTGAAGAAGTAAAATCGGACAATGATGTTTTATTAGCTGTTGGTGATGAAGCTGCAGCTTTATCAATAAATTCGTATGATACAATTGTAAGATTTATATTACCTATATTTAAAAACTGTGTTGATGATTGTGGCTTAATTTTTAGACTGGTTATTTTATTGGAGAGTTTGAAGATTTGCCATCAACTGAAAAGGAGCTAGAAAATAGGTAATATTTTAGTAAGGATAATTAAATTATACTAGTATTTACTATTCAGCGAGTTCACAGTTATGTTGTTTGTCATGTGTGCTTTTCATTGTATTTGGGTTGGCTAATGTAATCATGGTGTATTAACAACCATAATTTACCTTGAAGTTTCCAAATTGGGTTGAGTTTAATTTTTAACATGTCAAGATAGATGACATAGCTATGTACTTGACTGATTTTTACTGTTGTAAGATGTGTGTTGAATAAATTGTGTTATCCTATAATATTATAAACAATAGCCTGTAATGTTTAACACTTTTAAGGCTGAAAAAATTAAGTACTATCAATGAAAATTCTGACTCTTATGAAGTTTTTGTGCCGGTGTCTTCATTAAGTCCTCCTTGTGACACAGGTACTTGATTATTTACATTTTTAATATTTATCCATTAATGAATTCAAACTGATAATAAATGTTTTAATTTGTTTGTATTGCACTATTATGGTGGAATAGTGAATATTTTCCAACATATTATTTACTTAAAAATATTATAAAATAATTTATGTCTTTTTAGATGATGAAAGTAAATCTATGTGTTCAAATGAAGATAGTAATAGTTTACATAAATTTGACGAATCAAGAGATCAATTGTTAATGTTGGAAAAACAATATCAGGAAGTCATAAATGGACTTACAACTAAAATCACTGATTTAACTCGGTAAATATAAAATATAAATATATATAATTTTGTAACATATTATATTTTTCTCATTAATACGTTAATTTTATTTTTGTTTTTTTACAGTGAAAATGAATTATTGAAACATCAATTAAGGAAATATGTTAGTGCAGTACAGTTAATGAAACAAGATGAAAATGAAAGTGAGGAAGCTAAGTTATATCAACAAAAATTAATTCAAGTTTGTAATTCTTTTTTTCCTTAATAAATATTTTATAAATTCTGAAAATTATTAAATAATTAGGTTGCTGAAATGCACAGTGAATTAATTGAATTAAATGGTCGATTAAATAACCAACTTATAGTAAAAGATCAGTGTATTACTAAACTAAGAACAGAATTGGTATCGTTGAGAGGACCTTTGCCTTCAGACGAAATACCGCACACAAATATACACTTATGGGTTCCATCTGCATTTTTAGTTGGACGAATTAATGACCCGCATCATGTATATCAGGTGTGTGAACGCAAAACTAAGTTTTAATTTGTTGACATTTGTTTAAAATTGTAGTACTAATTTGTTTATTTTATTAATAGATCCATGTACGCATTCTAAATGAAGAATGGAATGTTTACAGGAGATATTCACAGTTTACAGAATTTCACAAACAACTAAAGAAACAATATAATGTAGTTTCATCAATTTTATTGCCACCTAAAAAAACTATTGGAAATAAGGTATAAATGCATAATAATCTATATCAAATAATAATTGTAATTCTAGTATGCATAACATTTTACCCCCCCCCCTCTTCCTCCCTCCCACAATATTTTTAATTATTATTTTTCAAACATGACCATGTAATATTAATTATATATTAATTTTTTTATTTACAACCTTTCCTTGCAATACAACAAATTTTCATTAGTTTCGAGTACCCAGATAACGATAATTTTAGTGACGTATAATATACTTAAATTGTTTATCTATATGTTTAATATCTCAAAAAGACCTTTATAACATTTGATTTAATCTAAATACTTCAATAATAAGTTTTATATTTTAAAGGGTGCCAACTTTGTTGAAGAGCGGCGTAAAAAGTTACAAGTTTATCTCAGACAGATAATGAATTTTTTGATAACAATAAATCGAATATTGGCAAATTCTCCCAACAAGTATAACTTGGTTAATCTTGTACCATTTTTCAGGTATCTTTAGCTAGCTTTTACTTATTTAAATAATCTTCATATTAATATAAACACATTTTTTTTTATAGTGAACAATATAACCAAAGTTATACTGGAAAATTATCATGGTTAAATTTAAGTTGTTTGATGGCTCAAAATTCTGTAGTAGATTTAAATAGTTCTAGTTCTCATCATCAGTATACTGGCTTATGACATAAATTTCTTAAATTATTTATATTTATATAATATTACCTATATAGCAATAATTTTATAATATATTTATTAAAATGTTAAACGTCTGTGATTTATAACAAAATATTTTATCTAATAAATCTTATATATTATAACTAATAAAAAAAAGTTTTATTTTTTAACTGTTTACTTTTTATATAATATATTTAATTTATGTCCTCACTAATATTCAACATAATTACAAATAAAAATATGGATAAATTATTAATTTTATTATTATTGCATTAAAATCAAGTCTTAGTTATACTATTAGATATAGGATATAGCTAAATATAAAGATCAAATTAATAATAATTAATACAAGAAATAGTTATAACTATGATTCATTACTATAGTACTGTGATAGTACTATAAACTCTTATTATAATTAATAACTAAAAAAATATTTGGGTAGGTAACAAATTATAGATGTACTTATATTATAGTTATGATTAAATATTATTCTAAAAGTATAATCAACAAAAATATTTTTTTTTAAATCAACTAATTTTATGATATCTAATAATCATATTAAAGTATACAAATAGATAACTTGTACATGATATACATTAAATGCAAGCAAACACAAAGTATTATTGTAATTAAATTATTCATTTCGAGACTGTATATTTTTCCTAAAAATTAATAAAACAAAACCATACTTCCTACTTAAATTAACTGTTTTGAGACAAAATAAGCAAGTAACATTTAGAAAGTGCATATTATATAATATTATAAAATATATTATTATTGAAGTAATAAATAAATAATAATAATATAAAATATATTAATATTGAAGTAATAAATAAATAATAATTATATTTACTCTGAACTAATAATATCCATGTAAGAAATAGCAGGATGAGACAATGTAGATAAAAATCTTTTGTTAGAATTCAAGTTTGTTCTGATTAAGCCATTATCCAATCCAACACCAGAAATGCTCAATCTTTTATCTAATAATGAATGTAATGAATTTAGCTGTTAAAAAAATAAGAACGAAATTATATATACCCAACATAAAATTTATATTTACATAGTTCTATATAGATACATATTACAGTATATTTAAAAGTATCTATATGGATAAATTATATATTATTACAGAATAAAATAATTTTACATTAACTTAAGTTACCTTTGCTTTTTGTTGAATGTTTTCTTGCCGAAGTACATCAATCAATTTATTGCTTTTATTTAATTGATCTTGCAAAAGTAAATTTGATTTATTCTCACTTTCTTTACTTATGAACTTATTCCCTACAGCTATTAAATCAGGCAGTTCTTTTTTATAGCTACAAAAATGTATTTATCATTAATTTAAAATACTGGTTAATCATTTGAATTTATAGTAAAAAATCATGGATACAATCAGTAACTTATCACATAATTTTATATTTAAAATATATTTTAATTCTTAAAAAGTAAACTGATAATTTAAGTATGTTTTAGAAAATATGTAAGTATCTTGAATTGTTTTTTATTCTCCACTAAAGATTATAAATTGATAAAAACCAATAGTCCTAAATACTATGATTACATAGTACATTTGAACCATTTAAAGTAGCCAGTAGGAATTGAGTGATAGTTGGATCAATAAGTAAATGTTTAATATATAAAAATTAAGGTAATAATTTTAGATTTTTACTAGCATTAAAATTCTAAACCAAAGAATAAAAGAAAATTTTGTATTTTGTATTTAACCCTTTGATTTTAAATTTATAAATAAGTTCTGCATTACTAATAAAAATAAATATATAACAGCATGCAAACAATAGGAAATAAAAAATGATATTTTACTTGTAATTATTATCATTTTTACTGTCTTCAATAGATATCTGATGAATTTTAGCACTGTTAAGTATATCACTTAATTGTTTTTGATTATCATTTGAATTAGATTTTAAAATTTCGTGACTCAAATTTTTTAAATGCTTACAACAATAGTTTCCACCATTCATTATAATCAATTCATCTAAAAGGTCTAAAAAATAATTCATTTAAAATAAATTCAATCAAAAATATTAACTGTGAGTAATTTCCAGAGTACCTCGATTTTTAGATCTTAGTATTTCTAATTCTTTATAAAGTTCTTCTAACATTTGTTTGTGATTCATTTTTATTCGATTGATATCTCTTTCATACTGAGCAACTAATATCAATGGATCAATTTTATTAAATAGTTCTGTTTGTTCAATTGAAGTTGTAAGGTTCTAAAATAAAATATTTAGGTATAAATACTATTAGAAATGATTTTTTTTTTTTTTTACAAAATACATTTATTAATGTGTTTACCTTAATTATTTTACTACTAGTTGAACGAGTTGGCCTATTGATTGGAGGTAATTCTTCTTTAAATTTTGATAAGCATTTAGTTACTTTAAATTCCATACTGTTTTAATAGTTCTACACATTATTAAGTTTACTAGTTTAGAATGCAATAGATATCATTTATAGTACATTTAAAAACTAAAGAAGGGTTGATATGAATTATTGATTATTTTCTACCACCACTAAAGTTTATTCCTAAGGTAACAAAATAATATGTACAAGGGGTCAAGGTACCATAGAATAGTGATTTAAGAATTCATTATTCACATACATTTCTATTTTTTATATTTGTGAATAACAAATAAAATTAATAAAATACAATTTGACTTATAATTATTTAGGACATAATGATATATACACCAATTAGATATTTAGAAGTAAAAATTATAAAAACTAAAAATTATGAAGTTATTAAAGTATAAAATTATTTTTTAAAAATAAAAGATGATAGCTTTGAAACTCCTTTGGGTTTTTTTGATTTGTTTGTTGAATTCATATTTTCATAGCTGTCATCTAAATCAGATTTTCTTTTATTATCACTTGAAGGTTCAATTGTCTAAAATCATTTAAAATTAAATAAATAAATAATATGTTCAAACTATGTTAAAATAAATTTTGTATAATAAAAAGTAATTTACTTGATCTAATGGAGAAAGAGTACCCATTGAAATATTAGCTTGTTCGCCATTTTTTTTTTTAAATGGATTAAAAGCTCTATCTATGTCGTTGGACTCATTCATCAGTTCAGATTCTTGTTTCTTTTTTAAAACTGACAAAATACTTGATGATTCTTAACAAACAATTTTTTTTAAATTAATTATAGCTGTGTTCAATCTTTTTTTTTAATAACATATAAAAATATATATACATATATAACTTTCATTTATTTTCTATATATTTAAATTTAAACTAAATTGATGTTATCTAAATATGACCCTTAAGAGGAAATAAAAACTTCTGTAAAACATTTTTACAAAGCTTTGTTTAGAATTAATTTTAAAAATAAAATTATTTATTATGGTTTTAAAATTGTTTATCTGAATACTACAATAGCTTGAACAGATGAAGTGAAATGAGACCAGTACTATTTAAATTACTTGATTATTGAATTATAATTTAAAGAAAAAGTGTGTATACAATTAATAGCAACTCATTATTAATAACTAATAAAATTTAAATCTTACCTTTGTTAATATCTTCACTATCATTTGAACTATATTTTTCTGAAAATAAATCTTGCGATTGTTGTGAAATACAGTTTGTACTCTTGCTAAAAAATTTAAAATTCATTATTTTATTACAATTATGTTAAAAAAGTAATATAACTATTAACTTTATGTAATTTATCATGTTTACATAAAAGTTTGAAAGAGCTTGTATTGAGGAATTTTCTTTTGTTTTTTTTTTAATGTAGGTTTTTTATAACAAGCAATATATTAATTAAATATTTTTTATAAACAATTATTAAGATAAAAAATCAGTTTCACTGTTTGTTAATAGCATTTAATTTATTTGTTTAACATTTTAAAAATTGAACTTAAATCATAAAAATAATAAAACATCAAAAAATTTACCATAAAATAATGATAAAATTGTACAACTTACTTATATGAAGTTGATGGACCATCAAATAATTCTGAATATGTTACTGGTTTTAGTTTTGGTTCGTCATCTATATTTGTTTCATTTTCTATGATTGTTGTAATTTTTGTTGCTAAACTACTGTTCCCAACTCGCATAGTATACTTTAGGGCTAAATTTAAATATTGCTCCGATCTTATAAGTTTACAAAGCTCTAATGCTCTCATATCATGACCACTCTTACATGCCATCTAAATAAATTGATAAGAGTTGAATTTAAATTAAATTTTATCAATTTAAATGTTTCAACAAAGAGTAAATTAATTTAATACATACAGCAAACAGTTTTAAGAATGTTGTTTTTAATTCTTTATCATATTGTAATCCATCTTCTTCGGGTAAAATTGATAAAGCTATATTGGATCTCCAAAATTTTTCTTCTAATTCACCTTTTTCTTGATTAAGATCACATAATGGAATCTAAAACAACAATAAAATATTTAATATTTGCATTAAATATTCAAATAATGAATATAATAACCTGCCATGGTATTTCATTCAAAAAAGGATGAGGTGTTGTTGAAGGATAATAAGAACCTTTACAAAGAATACATCTTATATCTTGACGTGCTTCATTGACTCCAATAACAAAATAATGGTTTGTAGTGTCATTCCACTAAAGATTTTTTTGTTATTAAAAAAATATTATTGTTATTATGGTTAATTAAATATTACCGTATTATCTACACAACATAAGGGACTCCAATAAGATTTAATTAACATTCGCAGGGTTCCGGCAGAATCTAGAATACTCAAAGATCCATAATCAGAAAAACCAACCCATCTAAGAGTTGATTTTGGGAACAATGGAACATATCCAGAACAAATGGCTTCAACGCGATTATCAATTTTGTACACACAGTATCGTAAATTTTGTTCACCGGGTATAGCTAAAAAAAAAATAAAAAAAATAATTTTATACTTATACTTTACTGTACTATATTAATACATACGGGCACCACAATGATGCACAACAACTAAACGGTCTCTACATCCATTAATAGCTACTATAGGCCCAGGTATAGATATGATCTCCCTTTGACCACCACCAAGAGTAAATAATCTTATTAGACGTGATACTGAAGCTACTGCAATCCAATCAGCAGTAACTGCTAAACCACATATATCATCTTCATTGGGTAAATCAACAGTCCATTCACGTTTACCATCCCATGAATTCAATAGTACACAAACCAATTTGCTATTTAAATTGTTATTAATAAATGAAATATTTATGTAAACTTAATACTTAATATATATATTTATTAAATACCTAGGTGTAGTATCTTGAGATTCACAACCTAATACTAATGCTTCTTGACACAGAGCAGCAATAGTATGCCCTAAGACATTTTTGATACGAAAAGCATGATGGATAGTGTTATCATGAAAATCAACATCAATTACATTTTCATCAACAGTGTTAGTTTGTCGTGCATATCCAACATCATTAAAAACCTTGAATTTACAAATTATTAATAAGCAAATAAATAAAATTAACTAATAACTTTATATTTGTAATAAGTTAGGTATTATTAATGATTACCATAAAGCGCCTTTGTAGATGAACAGGTGTTGAACAAGGTTGAAATGGACTTTGTATATCGACAGTAAAACTAGCAGTAGGAGGAATATATTTAGAAGACAAATTGCTGTTATCGTCATCAATTTCTAAGCCATCGACATTATTTAAAGATAAACCTCTTTGTTTACTAAGTTCAACTTCAGCTTCATATTTTATTTGCTCTAATGATATAACATTATCGCCAGACTCTTCATCTGTCATTAATATGTTTTGATCATCATTAGTCTAAAAGAAGAATTAAGTCATAATTAATAATAATTTTAAATGGAGGTTTACCACTAACTGCATTATAATATAATTCACTTATTTATAATAAGTGTACTAATATTTGTGTGAATCATAAAATACAAACATGCAATTGATCAATTACATTTACACCATTAAATATTATTAGCAGTTAAATAAAATTAGATTAATTATTATCTAAACTTACTGAATCTATAGCAAAATCATCTGAATTAGCGTTTTCGACCAAACCTAATTGGCCATGATCATCACAATAGGCTAAAGTGTATTCATCATTTTTAGGACACCAGACTAAACTTCTTATAGAATATCGTTCTTTACACTTTGCATGTAATACAATTACTTGAGATGATATGTTCCACACGAAAATAAATCCAGTGTTTGTCCCAGCAGCTATATATCTACCACATTTTGACCAACTCATGACAGTGATATCCTAAAATAACAAGAAATTATAGCAAAGAATTATCAAACTACAGATGTTAATTTTTTATCAAAGCTCGTTCATTCATAATTATAAAATAAAAAGTACTTGAATTCCATTACTTGTTCAGATAATCGATAATCGTGCACTGTGTAAAGTTCTCTCCACAAACCTCTTTGGAAAAATTTTATTTCTTTTCCAAAAGGTATAGCTAATAAATTTCCATCTATAGGATCCCATGCTGGAGTACATTTAATCTTAGAATGCTGAAATGCATTGCTAACTGGAATAACATTAGTCCATTCTTTTATAACAGATTTTTTTTCTATACTCCATACTTTTACAGTTCCATCGCAACTTGATGACACCTATACAGAGTACATATTTGAGTTATTATTATAAAGTATCAATTATACTTTAATTTAAATATAAATAGCTGGAAATTATTCTATTTTTTTACCAAAAAATCAGACAATGGATCAAATTTAATAGATAAAATTGGACTTTTATGACCATCAAAATTCAATACAATTTTAGTATCTTTATTCACAACTTGAATAGATGAATCACTGAAATATAAAATAAATTATTATTTTTTTTGATTAATATAATATATAATATATTACCATCCACCAGCAGCAATTAGTTTGCCATCTTTAGATGAATCTAAACAACAGACTGAAGCAGTAAATCGAGTTAATGTATCTATTAACTCTGCTTTTGGAAATGTGTAAACTTGAAGTGTGTGATGATCATCACCAACATATAACATATCTCCCTAAAAATGATTTGAATTTAGTATTATACTAAAAATAGTATTTGAAAATAAAGAGAAAATTTTAAATATTATTTCTTTTAGGTTTTTATTTAATTAATTTATATTACTGATTGGTGTACGGCAAATGCTTCACTACCAACACATTTTTCAGTAGGATCACCATCATCAATACCATCCCATATTCTTATATCTCCATCTTGACCACACGTAATCAAATATCTGTTAAAGTAATATAAATTGTACATGCAAATTAGTTTTTATGATAGTAAAAACCCATTGTTAAGTTGATATTTATTTATTTTTTATTTGTGAAATTTACACAAAATTTGTATATCTTAAATATTGGTCATGTAATACTCTAAAGTTAATGACCTGAATAACATTAAATAATGACCTAAATTATGCAAATATAATCTAAAAATGTACTTTTAATAATATTTTCAATTATAATTGTAACCATCACTACAAAAATAAGTTAATAATATATAATACAATAGAAATGTTGCTCTTGAAATTACATTTATCTAAAATATAGCAACAATCCAACATAACATCATGATTATAATAAAATAAAATAAAATTTAAAAAATCATAATAAGAAGTTTCATCATTTTTGTATAAATATATTGTACACTAGTTTAATCTATACATAAAATATCTATATTTTAGATTAAAGACTGCTGACTTAATGCTGCCTGATGGCAGGTTTATACATTTTATATGACTCAGTGATGGAGCAATAACAAACAAATATTGATTTATTTCATTTTGAAATCATTTAAATTATAATATTTGACATAAATCATTTTCTTTTTTTAATTTTTATTAGAAACTTATCCCGGCTACGAGTGGCATCATTTTCTGGGCAAGCAACTGTCTAAGTGGCGAGGCTGCTATCCCCCAAACAGGCATGGCAGAAACCTACGGGTGCCCAACTATAAATTCTGCCAAACAGGTGTCCGAACTAGGCCTTCAGGCCTAATCCAGGAGTCAGGACATAAACGTCATATGCAAAAAAAAAAAAAAAACTAAATACCTATTACTCTAAGCCAAAGAGATCTCTAAATTAAGTTTTTTCATAAAAAAAAGCTAGGAATATGGGCTTATCTGAGATATTAATTCATATAAATCATAAATAAAAAGAGTAGTGAATTTCTTTAAATTAGCAGAAACTGATTTAAAATGTTAAGTGTATTCAAGACAAAAGATGAAAAATAAAAACTAGTTATTTAGATTCATACATTATCAACTTGATCTTAACTAGAAAATAATTGTAAAAAATTTCAATTAAAGTCAAGCATTTTGAAACCCAACTATTTATATAATGTTATTTTTAAATAAATATACCTAATTATCTTATTTAAATATTTTTTATTAAGATATCATTACAATATTGTTCTCTCTATCTATCAAACATAAATTATAATAAAAACATAGGAGTGCACACAGGACGTACCCAGATATGCCCTGATATTTAATGGGCCAAAGTGCCCAATATGTCAATCAAATTGCCATATATTAATTACAAAAATCAATTTTAGATTATTCTTGATTTCAACTATGAGGCGCAGCAAAAAAATTTAATACTAAAAAATTGAAATGTTCCAAAATATATCACTTTGAAAACTATCCAACGTTCTGCTCTGCCTTTAATTTAACTCTACACTATGAACTCCATGTGCGAACAGTGGAAGAGGAAGCGCATATCTTCTACATACACTTTCATAAACGATTCCACTCATCCTAAATCTCTCATGAAAGATTTTTCCATTTTTACACTCCCAGGAAATCCTAATTGCAGGGTAAAAAGAAGGTACTGCGATCAGTAATAAAACTTTAATATCTAACGTCTCTAAAAATATTAAAAAATAATCACTACCCAAGAGTCATAAATGAGTAACTTTAACTATAACCTTCCGTTTTATATACTACTTTCATCATATAAATTTATTGAGCTTATTTGTATAAATTGTTTATGTCAAAAAAAAATTTAAAAAATATTCTCTCGGAAATAATGTGTGATAATGTGCATCTTGTATTTTTCTATTATATGATTTATATGTTTATTAAAAGTACATTAAGTTCAAAAAGTCTAATAGGTAGCTTGAATATAGAGGGTCGATAAAAATATATGAGCATTACCTACTTTTGAAGCCTGCATACATCTATAAACAAAAGTTAATATTTAATACCCTAGTTAATACTGTTTCTTTAGAAACTTAAATATTTCAAAGCTCCTACGCAGAGTTTATTCAATACTGTGGAAACATAAGTAAATTTAGCAATAACTAATAAGTTATACTGGACTAATTTGAGCAGTTTAGCTATGATTAACAGCCTCTTAATGTATTGTATTATATTTTCATATAGATTCTTATACATTTATTTAATTAGGTACTGTATTAAAATTGATATATAAGCAAGACATAATAAAATTATAAATTTATCAAATTTGTGAATCTTACTTTCCATCTTCTGAGTAACATACATCGGTGTGCCCTTCTACATGGGCATATCGTGGAAAATTCAACTCTTTAGTTTCCGACATAGCTTTGAGTCTTATTGCATTATCAGTTGAAAAAAGACTTTAAATTTAATACTTAAACACTAAAGCAAAATAATTGTTACCTATTTAGTTCATTAATTGTTTGCAACTACTAACTTATGTCATATTGTCTTCTGAAATTTGACGTTTTAACATTAGTTGTTTGAGTTAAAAACTGAAGAATGAAGAAAAAATAACAACAGTTAATAAATTGATAAAATCAAATTGGCGGCAAATTAAAAAGACTTTTAAGACATAACCTACAATTAAATTAATTGAAATGAAATAATAAATAATACGTATTTAAATTATTTACATTGTTGTATAGTATTATTTGTAGTATAAATATAAAAATATTTTAATTTTAGTTTAATTTAAATTCTAATTTTCTAATTTTTAATTTTTTTTTTTTATATATAATAATATTTATAATTTGAGACTAACCTCACTTTTACATTTACCGCCAAAAGATCAAGTTAACCAATTTGTTCTACTTTTCTAAACTTTTAATAAATTATTTTATAAATTATTATGTATATTAAATACTATTTCTCTTTTATTAATTAAAAATTAAGAAACTATTTTTACGTTCAATAAATTTTGTATTACTAAAGTTTAATCATGAACTCTAATGATATTAATAACAACGGAATTAATTTTTCAACATTTGATACAAGTGCATATCATTCAACATTTAATGGTAAACATATAAAACAATTGTTATAACCTTAATGTATTTAGGTCATTTTTATGATGTGAAAGTAGTAATACAAACTATATAACCCAGTTAACCCATGGTAATAAGTTATTAGCTCATCACTTTAAATATATTGTTAGACGTTAGTTAAAAATTGTTAAAAATAATATACTATACATTTATATAACACACAACTCGCTGGTACAAGTTAGTAGGCATACATTATTTACCTAAGTTGATTCTTTCATTTTGTTCACTGTTCTTCTTAGAAACAAAAAACACAGAAAATGAAAATGAGTTGAATTTAGTTTTTTATTTTACCTAAATATCTTCTTCGGTAAAGAATAACATAATCTTATTAGTGCAATTGATAATAATGCGTGGATAATTTCCAATTTATCCGTAGGTACCAATTCTTTTTTCATTGTATAATTCTAAAAAGGATTAGATTATTTTTTTGTAAAGTCTAAATTTAAATAAATTACTAAACGGATAAGGTATGATAAAGCTCAGAAATACTTTTACATTTATTAAATTACGGTGTGATCGAATACACTACCTACTCAATCTTTTTCTAACCCTACATTTTTATAATAATTTTAAAACTAATTTAATAAACCGTAGTTTTTTTAATTTTGAAACACTTTTAAAGTATTTAATATTTGATTCTTATTATTTATTAATGTTATATAAAATAAAATTTTATGATTTATAAAATTTTTATTTTATGAATTTTTCATTTACCTTATATTTAGAAGTTACAATAATTGTAAGGTTTATGAAACGCTGTTTTATATGACAATATTATTAGCTACTAACCGCAAGAACTTTATGTCATTAATTGCATAGTCAGTATTGACAAACATTGGAAGTCCAATAATTTCCTTTTTGACTAAACACTAACTTCGTCTAAGATTAGTTTACGTTAGGACAAAATTAATATGTTAACTGGATTTAACACTTATGTTATCAAAATTCAAAATAATTCATACGTTTATACTGGGCGATTCTTTTATCAAAGATTGCTCGTTATTTCAAAACCTATTAATTTTTTACACAATTTTTATTCAAAAAAATTAATTTCGAACGAGTCTATGAGGTAATAAATATTTAAAGTTTAAGTGAGGAGAGTTGAAGATCAACATTTTACGGTATATCCTGATACCACTACGGGACTACATTCCGCTCACCAATAACTTAAATACTTAGAATTTAAAAACTACTCAACCGTATTTCAATTTTTGTGTATCAAAATACTTCAAAAAATATTATGTTGCAGAATGTGTAATTAAAAATATATTGTTTTACTCGAAACCGTAAAATAGTTAAAGCATTACGATAAAAAGTATTAAAAAATATTATTGTATTTCGAAAAGAAATTATGTAAAAAATAACATTAATACATTTTTGAATAATTAGTGTTGTTTGATAAAAAAATTGCCTTGTATTTAAAATTATCACATAATATCTATTATCTACAATAATTATTATAGTCCTTATCTTAAAAATTAAATGCATTTATACAGATATACTTAATATTACGTATAATACTTAGTTGTCACATTGTATTCGTAATCGTTTAAGTAGAAGTATAGTTTGTCTAATCACTGGCGTATTTAGGTTATAATAAAATTATTTGTGTGTATACAGCCTATGAGGGGATTTATCCCCTTGACCACCCCCCCCCCCCGTAAATACACCACTGTGTCTAATATAATTTAATGTAACTCTTTAATAAAAATAATAATAAATATAAACAAAAAAAGTAATGTTTGCAATTTAAACATTTTTATGGAGTTTCGTTCTTTTAACATTATGCCAAAGTTTAAGAAAAAAAAAAATCATATGAAATCACACGGAACTTTGTGAAATTGTTAAGACTATAAAAAAGAAAAAATACGAAAATACAATACATGTATAAATCGAAACTTTTACTCACTCTCAATGATTCAATTTTCAAGATAGCAAATAACTTTACAAATCATAGAACATAATATGGTTGATTAAACATTTAATTTAATTCAAATTCGAATTAGGTAGGTACGTAAAAAGAGAGGGAGTGATTAAAATTAAGTGTACTATTTAGCTTTGTACGCAATAAAAAAAAATCCTAATAAAATTCAAAGTCATGCGATCGAAATATTTCGCTACTTTTATTACTAAACACATTAAATATAAATATATAATATATATACAAGTATTATCGTGTATGCGACGTTAGGTTTGGCTGCAGAATTTACAAATTGTTTTACAGTAATTAGTAATGTTTAATATTATTTTCTTATTTTACAAATATTTAAATAAACCTGTCACTTTTAACTTGTTAAGATACTCATTAGGTACTTAAAATTAAATCTAATATATGATGGAGATCACATATTTGTATTGCAAGAGTATACACTATATATCTAAGTTATACATACCTATATTATCATAATAATATAATATCAAATTAATAAATGTGAAATTTAAATTTAAATATTTTACATTTTAAAGGTAATGTAAATGAAGATATGAATTCATCAACTTCCAGTTATAACCAACTATATCCAGTAAATAAATTGCGTGAGTTGGCAACAAAATTTATTTTGAAATGTATATACTTAGTTTAAACTATAATTTGTAATTTGAGAGATTAAATTCGGATATTAACTTAATTTTGTCATAAATATCTGGAATAGTCACTCAATAATGCTAAGAAAATATTTTTGTTGAAAAATTGTTTTTATGATGAAAACAATTTATCTATCACCTAAAACTTATCTATTTATTTCTTGTTTCATAGGGATTCAATAATGTAAATTGTATTAAATATAATTATTTTTGACTTATAATTTTAGCAGAAAAATATAGACATATATTTTCAAATTTTACGTACTTCAATAAAATACAGACAAAAGCAATCAACGTTATTTTCGATACTGGTAGGTACATGTATTATTATTTTAAATAAATAACTATAATATTATATAGTGTAAAATAGAATTTAAAAAGTTGACCTCTATTAAATGAATAACATTAAACTATGATATTTTATAAGAATTTAAATTAAACATTTTCAATTAACGAAAAAATGATTTTAACGTTTCAACTGAAGATTATACTTTCGACGTGTTCACTATTATTTTAAAAATGTTTAAAAATATTTATTTGTCAATATTTCATCTATTCAAAATATGCATTTTTATAAACTATAAACATTTTTAACAGCAATAAATTAAACAGTTATATATTGTAAAATTTTAATATTTTTAATATTTACTAAACCCATCTTAGGACGCATTAAAGTACAGACTAAAAAACAGTGATTGTTCTTTCGCTGTGTGGTTTCTGTTTAATGAAAACTATACATATTTTTAACAATCATTTGAGTAGTTTTCACCAAATAAAAAAATATTGATCTAAAATTATACACAATATTAGAATAATTATTACAGAGTACCCATGTATGTTAAATTCAAAAAACATTCGACCAAGAAATATCATTTTCTATTTTCACCCCTTTTTATTACCTCTTAACATTTTTAGAAGATGAATTTCGGTAAGTCTTTTCTTAGTGGGTCTCTATAACAAAAAAAAAAAAAAGAAACTACTTTCCAAACTTTATATTCGTAGTTTCAGTAGTTTCAGCCAGGTGATGACGAATTAGTCAGCCAGCCAATAAGAATATGTTATTTTAAATGTATAAATATATATTTTAGATTCTGTGCGGAATGATGAATTTTACTAAAATGTTTTTTTTTTAATTATGTCTAATGGAATTTTAAAGAAAAAATTGATGAATATCAGTAGCTAAGTAATAAAAAATGGTTAATTTTATTATCTTAATTGCATTTTTAAATTTTTAAATATTAAGGATGGCCGATTCTGTTGTAAATTTGCTTTATACTGACTGAAAAATCTCTCAACTTTGACTGATGTTATTGTTTAATATTGCAAGTTGACTATGTTTAAAGCAGAAATTATATTTCGTCTGATAATTTATTTAGATTCTATAAATCCGAGCTCTTATAATTACCTATACTTAAATAATATAATATAAATATAAAATCCAATGAAAAAATTTTTTTTAAATAGTTTTTGTACGTAATAAGTTATAATATTATTAAAAATAACTGTGTATTTACGTTATCATAAATATATCACAAGTACCTTATAACTATTTATTTATCTCTGTTGTAATCTGGTTATATAGAAGTCAATTATTAAATGATGTATTATTGGTATTAATCCATATTTTTTGTGAGCAATAATTGTTGTTAATTTTGCTGACATCAACTAACATGTGTTAAAAAATTAATTATATGCTTTTACGATAAATTAAAACCCTTATATTTAGTATCTAGTATGTTTATTATTTGCTTATGTTAGGCGTATTAACAAATGTACTTATGCACCTAGTTCGAGAAATTTAGTTTTAATACTTATTTAAAATTACACACTTTATTAATTATTATATAAACGTATATCGTGTTTGTTTATTATAAAATTGAATATAATACATTATATGATTATATGAATAATATCAATTTTTATTGTATTTATATTTAAGATAAATCAGTCGTTGTGTCTTCGCCCACTGGATCCGGAAAAACAGTTATTTTCGAATTAGCTATAGTATATTTTTTAGAAACAATCGGGAAGTTTTCTAATAATTTACAGAATTCTAAAATAATTTACGGTAAATTTATATATTATGTTTTTTCATTTTGTATAAAATTATATTACTTACATATAATATATGATCAAATTCAACATATTATAGGTACATATTTTATACATGCATGATATTATGTAGTTAAAATATAACTAGGTATTTAAGTATAAAATACTTGTAAATGAATTGTTTATTTTTATTTGTTGTTACCTAGTGGCTCCAATAAAAGCATTGTGTTCCGAACGTTATGAAGATTGGAAAAATAAATTTACAGTTCATGGACTTAAATGTGTTGAAATAACTGGTGATAATGAAATTACGGATTATATATCATTAATTTCTAGTTACCAGTTAATAATAACTACTCCGGAAAAATGGGATTCATTGACGAAAAAATGTAAAGAATTTAAGTATCAAATAAACACGGTCAAACTTTTTTTGATTGACGAGGTAGGTCATTATTGAACTATTAGATTCAATTCTAAATTAAATTCCATGTATTTTAAAGGTCCATTTAATAAATGATGAAATTCGTGGTGCAACATTAGAAGCTATTGTCAGTCGCATGAAAATTATTCCAAAAATTGTAAATACATTTATATAATATATAAAAATATTATATACAATAATTAACAAAATTGTATTTTTTATTTTGTTTTTAATAGTCAAAAATCAATAATTTCACATTACGTTTTGTTGCTGTATCTGCTACAGTAACAAATATTGAAGATATTGCAAAATGGTTGACTAACGATCAAAATTATCCTGCTCATTACTTTAAGTATATATTTAAAATAATACAATTGCAGTTTATAAGAATGATATTAAATACAAATTATTTTCAAACCAATTTTTTATATTCAATATAATATTATGTACTTTTAATATTATTTTATTAATTATTTAATGCACAATATTTCACAGAAGTACTGAAGACGAAAGACCTGTGAAGTTACAAAAAATTGTATTAGGTTATAACTTTAAGACGAATAGTTTCAAATTTGATTTTGACCTTACTTATAAACTTAAACCTTTAATAAAACAGTATTCAAATGGGCGACCAACCTTAGTGAGGAAATACTATATAAATCTAACAAAAATTTGATATTTATATTCAAATCTAACTTTAAAAAAAAAAAAAATTATAGATATTTTGTTCCACAAGGAAAAGCGTAGAATTTACTTGTAGCATTTTAATGAAAGACATTACAGTTTCATTATCTGACGAAAAACAAAGTTATATCAACGAATTTTCAAGGGAAATTAATAACAACAAAATTAAAGGTATTAAAGATATACTTTATAAATTATGTATTTGTAGTATTTCTTTTAAGTATCCTATTAATTATTAAAAATAATCAAAGTACATAAAATGTATTCTCTTTATCTTCCTTATTTGATGTTTATTTTTATATTTTAAAATTGTTTACATTAGGTGGTTGGATTATATTTAATGTATTTTACATTATACATAGAATAATAAACCATCTAGATTTTAGTTATATATTATAAATACTGATTATGATTAAAATCACTTGAAAAAAATATTTATAATAATTTCAATCCTTGGAATAAATCAGAACAGTTTTAGTAAAACTGTGTATAAAACTAAATAATAATGAACATTAAAAAATATGCACAAAATATTATTGTTTACCTTGATTGTATATATATTTTATAGAAATGCTTAAATTTGGCATTGGATGTCATCACGCTGGCATGTATATTCAAGAAAGAAGTGCCATAGAAAAATTGTTTCGTATTGGATGCTTAAACATACTTATCGCTACTAGTACCTTAGGTAATGATACTCATAAGCTTACTAAATGATAATATTAAAAAAGCCCATCAATTAATATAAAATTTTTTACCTTAGCAATGGGTGTTAATTTACCAGCACATTTAGTTATAATAAAATCTACTGAATATTATTCGTTTAATGACTATAAAGAATATAACGAATGTCAAATATTACAAATGGTTGGAAGAGCTGGAAGACCTCAATTTGATAGTTCTGCTACTGCTATCATTATGACGAAAATATCAATGAAGGTATGATACAATAATTTATAAATTATATATAATCAATTTTTAAATACTGTACTGGATACATTTTTATTATTGCAAATGCTTAACATTTAACATAATTAGATAAGTTCCTTAACAATTTTAATTTAATTGATGAATGCCGGTTTAAAATCGTATTATTTAAGTATAAAAGTTGAAGAAGTCACTTTGTTGTATACATAGTATGTTTTGAGTGTACCTCGCCAATTAAATTCAATGATAAATCATTAATTTGTAAATTATAAATTGACTAAAAAATATCATAATTTTTTAATTATAAACTACCTTTAATAGTATTTATATGCATATAAATTTTAATATACATATTATCAGTATATCTCAAATATCCTTACTCCCTAATTATTTTCTTTGATAATCAATACACTTATAAAATACAAGGTTTTCAACATATCCTAATAGTACATATAATTTATTAACGATTAGTCTAGGACGTAGATTTTTATGTAAATACATAATTTTATTGAATGCTGATTTTTTAATATTGATTAAAAATAAGTACATTTTATAATAACACCTTGAATAAAATAAAAATTTTATTTCACATATTTTGATATGAATATACAATTTAAAATATTTTACCAATAAGTATATATATTTAATAAATATTTTGTATTTTAATAATTACCTATTCAATTTAATGCATGTAGTATACGGATTCCATCATATAGCTGAAAGTATTCTTGAAAGCTAATAGTGTACTAAAATATAAGTAGTTACCTATATATGTATAAATGGTGTCCACCCAAACCAATTATTGATCAGAGTGGTATTTGATTAGCAGCAGTTGAATTCTATTCTAACAATTTTGAAAAACTTAAAGACGTTATTTCAAATATCAATTCAGATACTGCAATAAATTTATCTATATTACAAAACTACTAATATCAAACAAAAGAACGAACTTTTTAATATTAAATACTTTTAACTTTAAATATTCCATATTTTTTAATATACAATTTGGCAAAAATGATAACATAAATATTTAAATATTTTGACTTTTTTAAAAATACGCCCTATAAATAATCATACGCTTATTTTATTCTCAAGATAAAACATAGACCTTACGAGTCACGACTATTCCTTTATCCGTAATTCCTTTAAAATTCTTACTTTTTCTTCCCAGTGCCTTGACACTGATCCCAACTATATTTCTTCCTTTCTTAATGGTTCTATTGATGCACTTAATCCCCTTTATTTGATCTCCTATCGTATTCCTTTCTTAAACGCTAGAACTCATTGGCTATTCATTGAACCTACATATTATTGTAATTTCTCATAAAAACAATAAATCAATTCAAACAATGCTAAATTTAGCTAACTATATTATAAGTATACAATATAAAATATATTAAACTTTAATTTAGTTCTGAGATTTTATTTTTATTTTTTTATTTGTATTTTATTAAATTTACATTTTTAAATCTATTGGTTACAATTTGATATTAGTTCTAAATTTAGTTTGTAATTTTTATGTACACTTTGTCAACATTTCGAAAAATAAAAATGGTAAATATGTACTTAGAAACGAAAGAAAAAAGTGAGAGTCTGATATTAAATATTAATTATGTAATTGTTAAAATATAAAATTAATTTAAGAATTAATCGTAAATCTAAATCGAATTGTTATTTTGTTTGTACGTGCAAAAACAGTAAAACAATTAAACATAATTTTATAAAATACTAGCTGAATTACCTGGCTTTATCCGTGTGTAGTTTGTGTTTTCTCAACATTTTACTTATTTTATCAAGTGCTAAATAGTAGTAGTAGATGAATTATAAATAAAACAAAATATAATGATTACTCGTAGAGTATTTTTACCAATTCTACGTAAAAACTTGGAAAAATGTTTAATATTGTTGTTATAAAACGGGAACATAAAAAAGGGCTGTTCTTATATATATATAAGGTTTACAGTTATTATAAGCATTTATTAATTTTATACAGTTTAACAAAATTATACGCTTTACAATTAATAGTACAAATTTAAATCATCAATTTTAAATAGCATAATATACCTATATTAATTAAAAATGATTTAAAAGTGCATATGATATCGACTTATATAAATGCGTATAGATATAGACGTAATACATATTGATATATAAGTAAAATGTGTATAATATGATGGATTAATTTTTTATCGTGTACAATAAATGTCGGTAATTTTAAGATAAATTGCGTAGTTTATTAAGTACAAACAAATATCAATACTATATATTTTTTTTGATAACGTCATAAATATTTACGTATAATAGGTAATATATAGTTGTGTCGGGGATATCTGTTCATATTTTGCATGACTTTTTAAATTTATTTATCATAGAAAATATTTAAACATAAAAATACAAATTATTTATTAAATTATTCTATCTTCTCTGAATAGAATTTGATTCACTATTGCCAAATGGGCTAGCATTATCTTGGAAGGTGATTTTTGGTACAAAACCACTTTCTCCATCGACGTAGTATGTGACGGTCATGAGTCTACCATCCGGAAGATATACAAAATACGATCCTTCTATGCGACCTGTATCTTTGCCAACTTCGTTTTGTCCATAATAATTTCCACTTGGTTTATCTTCCACTTTGTATTGGTATTCATACTTAAAATAATTAATTCAATTAAATATTTGTAATAAATATAAGAAAAAGTTGTAGGACATTAAAATATTAGGTTACTTTAAAAGGTTATTACTGTAAACTTTTTTTCTATATTTTATTTATCAAAGTAAAACACGTTTTTGTGATTCCGATATTTTTAAAAATAAAGTAAGCCTTTTACCATCATTTTAAGTATGCCGCAAACGTAATTGTTAGCGTGATAGAATGGAAGAACGCGAGTATTTCTTCCCCCAAAGTAAACCATGTAATATATTTTATCTATGACAAATTGTATTATTCACAGATTTTTGTGTAAAGTAAATTTAAAGTTGTATTTTTCAATCCAACAGTTTATAAATATAAGTTTGATATTTTATATAGTAGGTAAATATGTGTAATAATTAATAGGTAATATCTATTTCACTCTAAAAAAAAAATTCTTAATTTATTAAGGAAGAGAAAAGAGTATTTAGATAAATATGTATATATAAGGACTGAAGATACATTTAAATCATAGAATAAACTAACGTATATTAGAAAATATATATAATTAGAGTTCCTAATATTAGTAACGTGTTATGAATGTAAATATCTATATTAACTTTATACACATCAAAATAGTAAAAAAAAAATACAATTTAAATATGCATATTTTTCTTTTTTTTTTTATGAAATGTAATAGGTCTGTGTGTGTCAAAATGGGATTTTTTGTTAAAGAATCTTAATTCTTTATTTAAATATTAATAATCCAATCCAAATAAAATGTTGTGGGTCATTTTTTATTTACTTTTCAAAGCATTTTAAAATTTTCTTTAGTAAATTAATGGATAGGTACTATTTTATTTATAGGTTCATATATAAAACTGATTAATTAGAAATTACCATTTGATCTTTCTTACATGATACATATATATTATATTATGTATGTACATATAAATATTATTATTAAAATAAAACTAACTAGTGTATTTCAAAATTTAACTATCTAAAATTTATATGCAATGTAATACATGTCTACATAAACACTTTTGTACAGTAAAATAATTTAAACATTTGTTAACAGTATTTAAGATATTTTAAGTTTTTTTGATGGACAGATTGACTGGTCGTTTTAAAAATTATATTAATATGAACAAATATACATACAATCAGTTATCTAAGAAAAAATATTTATTTTAATGGTTAATCCGAGATCCAATGAAATTTTTTTAAAACTTATAGAATTTTTATTACTTTTAAAATTGAACAATCTTCCATAGTGGTTCACCGAAATTTTATATTATATATTTATATTTTTAAACTTAAATTTGTGTACTTTTTTTTCTGAAAATCATTAATAATTATCCCATAATAAGTATAAAAGCCTTATAACTGTTAAATTAAATGTTGAAATTAAAAACATAAGTTTGTATTATTTTATATTTCTTTGATTTCTATGAAAATTTTTAATGATTAAAAATTAAATAAGAATTATATTTGTTCTAAGTATGTATCATATTTATTATTAAATTATTTTTGTTTACTATATTTTTCAGTACTATTTTAAGTATAAAATTATGAGTGATTAAATTAAAATTAAAAAAAAAATAAATGGATTTGGTACTTACTGGTTCTGGTTTTTCTGAAGCTTTAATCATGGAATCCCCCTGTGGACGACCTTGGATATGGAATATCCATGTAAATAAAATGACACAGAATAACATTTCTTTTACAAACATCATAGTTATATATTTTCTTTGAAAATTATACAACACTTGAATCTTAAAAAAAAAAAGAATTAATATTTTAATATACTATGATAAATATTAAACTTATATAGCACAGTTTATATGTTTACAGCGAAATCAAATCTTTGTAATTGATTTCATATCGGCTTGGGTCTCCTTTAAATATGAACCTCTCCCTTTTTATCCCCCGTAGTATTTATAGCAAAATATATTGCTCCGCCCTGAAAGGAAAGTATGAGTTATAAATAAAAAAATTTAAAACATTTTACTCTAACACATAAGTTCTTTTATATAGTTGGAAATGAAATATTATTTTTCAATGATAGTTCTTTTGAACTTATCTTCTAAAAAATATTGTTTCTGTATCAATTAATAATGACTTAAACTTAAAAATAACTTATTAGTAAAAAAATTGATGCAATGCTTCCGGCCTATATTTTTTTAAAAGTTTTAATTTGTAATTTAAGATTTTTTGGGATACTAAAAAAAAACTAAGTTTCACACAACATATTTTTAGACATTTTTAGACTAATAAAAACAATTTTATACCATATTAAATGTATGTAATACTTTACATTGGTAATTTTTTAGTTTTCTTAGTAATTTTTTTGACCTACGTAAACAAAAAAAAGTTTTGACCTCAGTACCTCACTCAAATTAATTTGTAAATGAAGAGTTACCAGTTAATAAAATATGTGTTTTATTTTAAAATTGTATAAATTTATAATCTTTTGTTAAAAAATTTTCGATAGTAAATAATTATATATATTATATTTAATTATTATATTTATAATTTTATAAATTACTAAGATATTTAAGAAATAATTACGAGATGTTAATATTTAATATAAACTAGGATTTATTTTAATTTTTTACAAAATTACAGTTATTAACAATAACTGGTATCTTGTTTGTGTCTTTGTTAATTCTTGTACGATGAATATTTAATTTATATTGTTTTACATTTTATACCATTAATAATCAAGCTATTTCCAAGTATTGTCTTTATTTTTTTTCTCGTATACCGTTGTATATAATATAAATCTAATATGAATTTAATTTTAAAGCTTTAAGAACAACATTTTAATATATCTACTACTTAAAAATTTCTTTAATAAACGTGTAAAAGTTAAATTATAAGGGTCAAATTCCTTATTGTAGTCTGTATTTACTATTCACTTCAAATCTTATTTAATGTGTAATTAACGTTAATCCATTATCTATGTTCATACGCTAGGAATAAATGAGTGATTGCTCCTTAACGTTAGATATTACGTTATGTTTTCTTCGCATTGTCGAATCCACACGCAATGTTAACCTTTGAACTCAACGCGCAACCGACATTACAAACAAGCTCCTCTGTAGTAATTACATAGGCTCGCTATTCTTTAAATTCACTTACAAAATAGGTAGCCTTCTTGACAAAGTACAGACTACCCAGTATATTTAAGTAAAAATAATTTAAAATTTTACCACAACCTTATAGTTTCAAATATTATAAGTTAATATTTTCTAAAAGGATTTTATTACTCTGAAGTTATACGTATTTTAGTATTTAATAATTTAAATGAACAAATATAAATTTGTTTGAACGGAAATAATGTTAAAATCGGTATTAATATTTTTTACAAAAATCAAATCAATAATATTGTTAATATTCATAACTTAAGATGTAAACATATAGATAGTTAAAATCAAAGGAAATCGAAAGTGTTTATAATAATTTACTTAGGTACTAATAATAACAGTAAAAACTAACGAAAATATATAATTTATAATTCAAACTTATAAGTTTGAACCAATTTATAAGTATAAAATAAACTCAAATATATCTTTATAGCTTATACCAAGAATAATTTTAAGGTTTCCATTATAATGTACTCATGCATGAAAAAGGTAATCAATTAAATTATATGTAACATTAAAAAATATAATAAAGTATTCATTTTTTTTACCTACTAAATAAAAATATTAATAATTTATTAATATATCGATATAATTTACAATTGATTAATACTATACAATTGAATATGATTATAATTTAAGTTCAAGATATGTTTTGGCGTATTGTGAATATCTAATGTTCATAATATATATGATGTATAGTATATACCTACAATATACATGTATAAATTTATAAAAATATACGCAATATGTTTCTTAATAAAAAGGGGTTTATAATACTAAATAAAAAATATATTTAAGTTCAGTATAAGTCAATTTTAGTGTTTTATACATTAATTTACATTAGTTTTTATTATTAATATTTTGTCAATAAAAATGAGTTATTACTGTAAAATAAAATTATAATGATTATATAATAAAAATAACATAAAATATCCTAGAGTTTCAATTTTTTTAATTATCATGCATTATAAAATTAAAGTTCAACTTTATTATTCCTTAGTCTGATCTTTTAAAGATGTTATAACTCATACGAAAATAACAAATAATACACACTCATTCACAAACATGTAACGCTCTCTTATTAATTGGTATTACGCCATAACACTAACTTGATGAATTTGAAGTGATGGAATATTATAGTAAATTATTATTATATTGAACTGTGAACATTCAGTTTATGGAGTCTATCCCTTATAAAGTTTATGCTTAAGATTTTAACATGTATGTATAGTCCAATCAATCTCTTATTATAACACTTTTATACGCTGAATTAAAAATGGCCTGATAAATAGTATAATTGAATAGTTTCAAGTTTGTTTGGTAGTTATTTATTATAAACACTCAGTAGAGTAAATAAATAAATAGTTTATTGTTTCAAAGTACAGAAATTCACTAAATTATTATTTTATCATTTCGAATAAACGTAGATTTTACTATTAAGATATAATTATTATTTTTAACAGTAAAATAAGTGCAAAGATGTAAAATAGTGAGTATTTGGGATAATTATACTTTAAATATCATACAGTACATAATTTATTATACTATGGAATAATATAATATTCTACAGAGTATTTTATATTTATCTTTTATCTATTTAAAACCTAGGTATATGAATCATCTTGTATATAATCTGTTTCAATGTATGTAGAATGTAGATTCTGAACTATACTGTAGGGTATTTTAAATATTGTGTGATAAAAATGGAGGAAGTTACATATTAAGTTCTTATATAATCCCCACCAATTTTATTTTATATTATATTTGAAATACCTCGTATAGTAGTATTATCGTATTATACCAAATTCAAATAAATTCAATTTGTTTTATATTTAATACAAATTGCAGGTATTTACTATTTAATCTCCTAGTTATATTATTGGAAAGTTCTCAACAGCGCATTATAGGCTTATAGGTAATGGTATTTACTATAATAACTATTATAATTTATAGCATATTATGGTTTATAATATTTTCTTTAATGACAAAACATTGTTGTATATTAATATTTAATGTATTTAAATACATTACACCTTTTCATAGGTGTATGTAATTATTTTAAATTACACTTTATTGTGTAAACATTGTAGCAATTTATACATGCAATAAGAGACAGGATCACGTACATTCAACAATTTAAACATACCTTCATAGAACGTTTGCTGATTCATTCATTATTTTCTACTCTTTTGTGATCGGTAACTTGTATCTAGTAATAGGATAAGAAGGATGAAAAACGTTCTATTGTCAACTCTATAATATACTGTGCAAACAATATGTAATCATGGGCTATATTACATATTACATTTGTAAGATATTGGTCTCATATTATGTTGTATAGATTCCACTGCATTAGGAACTGGTCGAATAAAATAAGTCTGGACTCCACCATTGGTATTGCAATAAATTCGAAAGATAAAAAAATCACCGTAAATCGGTTATACTCGATATGCTCGAGATATATGAATTATTATATGATTATAAGAAGGTAACTATATAAAGCTGGATCACCATTGTTTTCTAGTAAGATATTCATTTTGAACATTTCAATTAAATCCAAACACGATCTTGGTTTATATAATGAACAGTTAAAGTATGACAATAGAGAAAAACTACGTGTTCTTTCATGGTTATGAGACTTTGCTGATTTGTCTGGTTAATCTATCCGGTTTGTTTTATTGGTATACCTACATAGAAAAGACAAAGTTATAATTTTTTAACGTAGTATTACATAATTCGTTATTATTCATACACAAATTCTACGAATAAAACCGAGTTAACAGTTATGTCATCTGTTGTGTCGTGTTCAAAATTTGAGCACAGCCAAATTCTCGGCAGATCATGGTTATCGAATACCATGATACATTATACAGTGGACCAATTAGAATCGATAGGAGGTACACAAAACAGTAAACGACGTAGTTCAGTAGTTGTAAACTCGACTTAAGCGTAATAATAATATTATGTCCATAGATGAATCCCATTTAAGTTTTCAGTACATTAATAGTTGTAACTTAAGATAAATTTTTATCAAAACAAAGCAAATATATCTTAATTTGCAAATTTCATTATTTTTTCCATAGGTATTTTGTGAAAATGTAACACTTAAAAAAAAACATAGGTAGAATGCGTTTACCACATAGTATTCATTATAACAGTTAGAACTAGGTATTTCAAGTAAGTATATGTTCATAATATTTCACAGAGGTTATGTTGTGACCTTTGTGAATGGCAAAACCTTTCTTGGAATTAGTGTGAAAGTAGATTGATCATACACTCCTTTCTGTCAACAATGCGCTTTATAAAAATAATAATAATGCAAAAATAAAAACCGTCTTTAATCCATACTTATGTCATGTAAGCCAGTATTATTATTGTCTTATTGTAAAATTTTCTAGAGTATAGTCCTATTATAAAAATTTTACATTCTGCATATACGCACGCGTTGATATGATAAACGCAAAAATCGTTTTTAAAAAAAATTCTTGTAAAAAAAAGTGTTGTAATTAAGTGTTTTACAAAATGTTTGTATCACATCATTCTAGATATTTTCAATTGATTTATTTAACAATTTTATTTCTTGTTAAAAATATATATGTTTATAATTTATATGTATATCTATAAATAGGCAATTGAATACATTTATAATATTAAATGGACAATAAAAATGATTTATACGCGTAAATATTATTTAAAAAACACAGATTCCTTAATATTTTTATGTAAAATGCATAGTGTTATTATAATGAAATCTATGGATAGAGGACGTCTATATTTGTTGAGGTTTGATCGTTAAAAACAAGAAAAAGTTGTAGGCACCTATTACTCAGAATAGTTGCGTAAATATAAGGAATAAGAAAAATAAGTACATAAAAATCATCTCTCCTTCGTTTAAGATTCTATTGCATAATTATCGTATAAGTGTATTTATTTATTCGAATATGACCTTACAAAAATAAATAAATTAATAAATAAAAAAACGAAAAACAAGAAAAATGGTAATAGTGTACATTATATGATTGAATAGTAATAGTGTAGTGTAAAAGTTTTATGAAAAGTATCTAGTGAGTTATTACAAGAGTTAAAGATTGAATTAATGTGTAATATTTAAAGCACATTTAAATTTAAAAAATTTAATGAACCCAAAAATTGGAACATTCAATATCATACTATTATTTATAAATGATAATTAGTTTGGTAGCTTAAAAGTATATATTATTACTTGATTGGCATTAAATAATAAATTAAGAATAATTCATTTTATAAAACATTAAGTACGTTTTGAATTAAAACCGATTAGAGTTCAAAATGATTAATCAATTGATATTATGTATCTACTTACACTTACACATAATAGTAAATTATTTCGAAATGGATCAGGGATCATAATTGCAATATGAATAAAACGTGCCAATATAATGTTTTTATACGAGAATAACAACATATAACATATGACAAATTTGTCATGATATAACATATTTTATGTTTTACTATCTGTGTGTCAGTCATTTGATTATTATAGATAAAATATTGTTTTCTATATAGGTATCTAATATTTACGTATAATTTTATTGTAAAATAAATTAGATAATCACTACTATTAGAACATGGTATTTTTTATTCATATGTATGACTTATTATAGATAGGAAAGATAAATTAAAGTATGTAGGCAATTTTTATTGATAATTTTTGTTTAGAAAAACGTTAATCTTATAGCATTTACGTAAATACTATATAAAATGTTTAAAAGGTTAATTTGAAAATTTAAATTTCGTGTTTGTAGAATAAAGATTTAAAATAAAACACTCTGAGTCACGATAAAGCTACTTAGAAATTATTCGATTTAAATCTTATGCACACCAAGAAGATAATTAGTAGTTTTGGTCGAGCTATCTTGTTAAATGTCTGGAAGTGATTTATTAAACACAAGTTTTGAGGTCACTTATTTGATACTGCGCTAGTACTCGTATAATGTAGTTAATCGTGAAATCTTTTGTAATAGAATTGGTTAATAGTTTCTCTAATTGTTTTAAATTGCAAGCTGCTGTTAAGTAATTTATTAGTTACGGACCAAAGGACTTAAGGGATAGTACTTAAATAGATAAACCCAAAAACATAAATCGTATATATGATGTTTGTTTGGTTAGGCCACATAATTTTAAATAATTTAAGTTCAAAATTTTTGGAAGAAGAAAACGCTTGTATAAAAAAGTTACAGTCGGTTTGAGGATTGATATTAGACCGTAGAAATTATGTAAATAGATAAAGTTTACTATATGGATATTTTTATTATTTTTTTTTTAATAACACGCAATTACATTAACTATAGTTTTTGTAAAAAAAAATAAAAAAAAATAAATAAGTTTTAGAAAAAAAAGCTTTTAATTGTAAGTTATAAGAATACTGTAAAGGTAGTATTATTATTTGGCTATTTTTACTGAATTTTTTAATGCAATTAAATTCACTTGTTTTACAGAGTCGATATGAAAAAATATTAATGGGCAATCAATTTATGGAAAGTCATCTTCATAAATATTTAACTGAACACTTGAATGCAGAGATATTTTTGGGTACGATCTATAATATTAAAGTTGCAATGGATTGGATAAGATCTACGTTTTTATATGTCCGAGCATGTAAATCACCTCAAAATTACGGAATGATCAAGACTCTTAGTGTCCAAGAAGTAGAAAATAGATTACAAAGTCAGTGTATTACTTACATAATTTTTATATTGATCATCTAATCCGCTAAACGTTATAGAGACGTTTGCGTACTAAAAATTAATAACTGTATAGATACTTGAAATTGTACCAAATATTTATGTGACAAAGTTTTCAAAATATTTTGACTTTTTTGAGTTATTTATAGAAATTTTCGAATTAATTTAATATTCCGCATTAGTTTTTCTTATAGTTAAGTAGGTATGTAAACATATTTTAAATATATAGGTATAATTTATTTTTATAAACATTTGAAATTTAAAAATTTACGAAATATTTTGCTGTTGAAAAATTAAAATATTCAATTTTTATAGCTAAGACTTGGGAATTTAATACAAATTCCTAATAAGTAGTTCATACTGAAGCCAAAAAAATTATAAGTATAATTTTAGTTTCAAATTTTAATGTAATTGCATATTTAACCTATATATAACGATATTAATTATTATTTTATTATAATTTGATATAGTATTTGCAAGGCTATAGAATTTTTAAATCAAACACAATTTTATACACTGAATAACATTTTAAAATTTAATGTTTTCGATAAAAATAATTCAACCTACTATATAACTCAAAGTAAAATAAATTACTTCACCTAATTGCAGTATCAACAAATATAACAAGAAGTTTACCAAGTCAATAGTGAGATAGGTCAATATACTGTCTCTGATCAGAGTCGTTTTTTGTTTATATAAAATAATTTATCATTTCTATTAATTTTAAAACATCCATCATAATGACCCAATCAATATCTACTGTACAGTAGAGTGATGCCTACTTGCCTACCTTTTTATTTTTTAACTTATCTAACATTTTATAGAGTTTAATTTATATTTACCGTGGATTTCTTATCAAAATCTGTATAAATGATTAATTCTTATTCTAACCTAATATAAATATTAAATATCTTTATTTATTTGATATTTATGTCATTGATAATATTGTATTAAATATTGATACAATGTTGAAAATTTTAGATTTGTGTTTAACAGAGATCAAAGCATTAGCGTGCACGGGGTTAATTAACTTTTGTGATGAAAATAATGAAATAATTTCAAAACCAGAATGCGAAATAATGGTTAAGTATTCAATAAGCTACGCAACAATGAAAAAATATATGCAAGTAAGTCGAATGTGTTCTCAATATTAAATATATAATTTATGGAGTATTAATTAAGACATCGCGAATAATATTAAAATATTTGTTATAGTCTGTATATAAAATATCTCTTTATAAAGTTTATGAAATAAAATTAATTATCTTTCAATATTATTTTAATTCTAATAGCTATGCTCGTAAATGACTTATTCATTTTATTCATGTACTTATTATTTTAAAATATATTCTTTACAATAATTTATGAAAATCATTGTTCTAGATCTCAAATTTAAAAAAATAAAATAAGACTACGGGGATCGAAAATAATAATTTTAACTATAATTTGTCATATTATTCTTATTAAATTAGAAATAACTGATATTGTTGATATTTACTTAGCTAAAAGGAACTGTGAACTTAAATGATTTAATAAAATTATTATCTCAATCCAAAGAATTCGAGTATATTAAACTGAGAAGAACTGAAAAAGTAATTTTAAATATTTTAAATAAAAATAAAATACCAGGTGCAGATGTTTTACGATTTCCCATCGAAGAAGGAATAAATACTCGAGAAACTAAAATCAATTGGTAATTTTTTAATTTAAAATAGTTTGCTTTATATTTATTAAATGATTTTTTACAATATGGCTTTAAACGTATATTATATCCTTTATAGTCTTTTACAAGCGACCTTGGGGACATTAAGAATTTCAGACAGTTCACTAGCACAAGACGCAAATAAAATAATTTTAATTTCTACGCGATTGACTAGAGGTATAGCCGGTATAGGTATTTATAAGTGGTATCTATATTACATTTTACTAAGATATTTATATATTTTAGCTTTAAAAGAAATCATGTTCAAAGGTACAAAATTCGAAATTGCTCGAATCGCGTGCATTTTTGCAAAATGCGTGACGACGAAATTATGGGAACAATCAAAGTTTGTTTCAAAACTTATCCCAAGAGTAGGACAAGTGTTATCACACAATTTTGTTTTAAACGGAAAAACTACATTGAAATCAATTCGGGATACAAGTCCTAGAGATTTAGAACGGGTAAGATTAATTTTTCTAATTTCAAATAAATAAATAAATAAATATACACACACACACACATATATATATATATATTTAATTAAATTAATATAAATGATATTTTATTGATACTTTTTAGCTTTCATCATACATTTTTATGTTATAAATAACATATCAGAAAATATAAGTAATCATGTATTTTTAAATAATTTATTTACATCCTTCGACTATTTTATTAATGAATATGATGTTTACGCTATAGGTACTTATAAACCATAGTAACTTTTCCGTGTATATTGTATAGACCCATAAATGGGCATAGAAGTTGTGATGATGACACCGCATATATAGGACGCTTATTTTTTATTTTATTATCCTTGACCTAAGAGTCAAACCACTTGCATAGTATAAGTTAAATGAAAAATGACAAAATTAATTTAAAAACTGAAATGTGTAAGAACAATAATTAATGTGTTGATTTTCATCATAACACTAATCAATACTCATAAACCGAAATTTTGTTAATACTTTTTATAATAATTTTACAATAAAAACTACTTAAGTGTAACGTGACAGTGGAGAAAAAATGAATGTGTATACATTTAAAAGTTAAATCAATATTATAAAATATATACAAATTGAATCCTTACAAACCGAATAAAATATATTTGTATTTTATAATTGTACCTTCAAAGTTGGAGTATAACCAACTAATTTTTTTATTTAAATGACATTGTAATTCAATAATTAAATGTATCAAAAATTAATGATTTTTTTCTGCTTAATCAGTGTAAATAAATTGTAGTAAAAAAATTTAAATACTTCAAAAAAAAAAAAAAAAATGTTAATTTTATAAGTATTTGACATTTGTATAACAAATAACGATTACATTTTTCTATTTTCCTAGTTCCTTAACCGACAGCCACCGTTTGGAAACCATATACACAACTTTATTCGACAAATTCCAAAGTATAAAGTGTGTGCAAAGTTTGATAAATGTTCAGAACTAATTATCGTTAATCTAATTTTAATTGATCATAATAATATTTCGTCAAATGTACTATTTCAAACAGTATCAGTTTTGGTGGGTGATTCTGAAAATCATCTGCTCAAAATTCAACAAATACGGTAGTATTATATTATTAATAAAATATTAATTACCTATGTACTAGTGGTACAAAAATATCATATATAATACGTCGTTATCGTAAATTATCATATTTTCTAGTAACGAAAAATTTTTGGAACAAGGAGGAATCATAAATATGACTACGCCGTTGCAAAATAATTTTTTTTTTAATAAACCCAACTATGAAATTACTATTTGTTTGATAAGCGACTATTGGGGTATGTTTAAAAAATATAGCAAACAAATTTAGTAATTCTATATTATTTTAGTATAATATTATTTAAAAGAATTCTTATTTATTTTTTGTAGTCGGAATTGATATTGAGATTAAGTTCAAACCAAACAATAACGAAGAACACATAAAAGAATCAATGAGTGAAGAAAATTGTTGTAATGAGTCACCGTTGAAAAATTTCCCCTCTCCACCGCCAAAAAAAGTATTGTGCTAATTTAGTAATTTATTTTTTTGTGCAATTAAATATCTTATTATATTATATTGTTATTTTTGTTTTAACTTATCGAATTATCGTTGTATATTTAAAGAAGCGAACTTCGAGAGTAGTGAAACAAGGCAATAAAGACAAAACACAGTTAAATATTAAAAAATATTTACATAACATTACTTCGAGAGATCAAGACCCTAAAGTCATGAATAAACTGAGTGTGGAAGAAGATACAGGTACTGATGTAAAGCGTTGTGCTAATGAAAGTAGTGTTGCAACATGTAAAATTGCAGGCGAAATGTTCAAAACACAAACTGATTCTTTTAACAATGGTAGGACGTTTAAATTGTTACTGGTTAACATTTTAAAATCTTTAAATTCAATAATAAGACTGTTGTTTTTTACACTGTTATTACTGCAATATAGGACAGCCAAATGAATATTTTAAATTCGACAAACATGAATTAAATAATTATTTCTGTTACGATGAGTAAGTTTTACGTATTCAAATATTGTTTTATATACTTACCTATACAGTAAACCGTTATATAATTAAACACTATTGCATGAAACGTATTATTGTATTAAAGATTAATAAATGACGACGTATTCGGTGATTTATTTGTACCTGAAGATAATAATGTTATTTCTAAGTCATTTGATTCGGCGATAGAGAAGTGTTGTTTCAAAGAAAGTGAGTTGTTTTTAATTAATACAATTCAACTTTTGAAATTCCTTACTAAAAACTGAGCATACGAATATAAATATGTTAAAAAATATTCCGATGTTTAGGTGCAATTCAAACGAATTATTTAAAAAATAAAATTCGCACTGAAGTTATTGAACCGTAAGTATTATTATTTTTATTATTATTATAACGTTGATATTTTATCGAATTTTGGCAATTAATACTTCTGGAAAATATTCGATAAATGTATGCACATCTATATCTAGTATATAATATAATATATTAATATAGGTTTTGTTTACGGTTTGTATAAAACAAGAGTTTATTTATTGTAATGCTATTATAAACCTATAATTATAGTGTATAGTGATTATAATTGCAATTATTTTCAGCAGCGTTCTTGTAACATAGAACAAATCATCGCAGTTTATTCGTTTGATTACGAAACAATAATATATATACTAAGTATAATAGATACCTGGTACATGTACATAATGGTTTTGGAATTTATATAACTATAACAATTTAGTCATTAGTACACGATTTTTATACATCATTAATAATACTCAATTAATGATATGTTACAAAGTTGTGTCGCTTAATAATATTATGAGATTTTAAAGTTTATACTAAAATATTAAACAAAAAAAATGTATTATAATGTACAAGGAACTAATATTTATTTATTTATATTTTTCAGCATGCAATTGAGATGCTCCAGAAAAAACAATTGTTTAAATGAGAAATCAAAACATAACAAATTGACAATAGAAAAAAAAGTGGGCGACGCTAAAGCAATAGTAGATGTGCGTCTTCCAAAATTTAATCAGATCACCTGTGACAATATTAATCAATACAAGGGAGGTAATTAGAAAATTCTTTTATAAATATAAAATTAAAAAATATGATTTAAATAGAAAAATTCGTGCATTTTTAAAATGCTTGTGGAATATCGTCATAAAAAATATCTACCTACTGAAGTTACTTATTAGTTTTTAAATTTAAAAGTTAAATTTTATAAACTAGTAAGGTTTTTATTTTCCAGCAGATCAATTATTGCCAAACAAAGAAAACATAAATCCATATAAACTGAAGTAGTAAGGATATTATTATTAATTTTGAATTTATACTAATATTAAAAATAATATAATGATTCTCGTTTGTAATAATATATTTATGAAATCACTGCTCATCAGCACAAAAAAATGCCTTCTGTTCGGTGATATACAAAAGTATGACGCTGAGAATAAAGACGAAACCTCGTCTATTGGATTTGACGTGAAACAGAGATGTTTTACGGACTCAGAAAGTACAAATAAAAATCATATCATATTTACATCAAGGTATAATATTTCTTAACAATAGTGTTACGCCAACATGTATAAGTATATAAAAAAATTAAAAAACCAATAAAATAATGGTGTTTAAATTCAATACATGAATTAGGGAGTAAGTTACTTTGAGTTTATTATGTTAAAACACTCATATCGCACTCCACAATTAATGTATGCATATAATATTAGAACGAATAAGAACAATTATTATGGTACCAGAGTTTATTTTTGTTAAAAAATTAAAATATTTTAAATTATGTAAAAACTAGATATAATAGATACTAAATTAGTATAAATCAATGATATTGCTACATTTTGTTTCCACATATTATGCTCTTGATCTGAATTTTTATTCTTAATAATACCTGTGTGTTAAGTGTAAAATATGATATTAAAATTTCCATCATTTAAAAATCAAATATTTATTATTCAATTTATTTTAGTTTTAAAACGTCAACAACGACCAGGAATCAGTCGGATTTTGCATTTGAACGGAAATCCGAACAAAATTTATCAACAATAAATATCGATCAAGTAATGCCGGTTGCGGCCGTGGGTAGATTGTCTCGCCTAATAGAAAACAATTTGAAGGCCCCGTCTGAGTTTCAAGTTCCTCAGGACATGGAAAATCTACCTAAAGTAACTGAAATCCATCTTCAGGAATACTCAGCTAACACCTTTTTTCCGGTCGATCGTGATAGTGTGCAGCAGACAAGACCAGAATTTGGAGTTTTTGCAGCACCGATGGCTCGAACGCCCAGACAAAATGATTGTCTTGGCGGTAAATCAACCTTAGACAAGTATTTCCGAAGGGTCAAAACCTCACGGCGACTACGGGATTTAAATTCCAAAGAGCTTCCCGTAGCAGTATCAGATGTTTCGGAGAAAAGTTTTGTCGAAAGACCATCATCCGACCCAGCACTGCAGCAAAGAACTGACCTCAGAGACGAGAAACTGTTGTTCACTAAGCGTTTTTTCAACCGTGAGTGTTGTATTTTATATTTTATATGACCGTTCATTAAAAAAAAACCATACGTTTCCGTCATTGTGACGCGCCACCATACAACATAACAATAATTAATACAAACATTCACATTAAGTGTTAACAATTCGTTGCCAGTATATTAGGTAAATTGTATCAAATTGTATATATTTTTTATTTAACTTGGCACGAAGCCATAATCAATATAAAAGATTATTTTATTTACGTACTAAAATTAAAACATAAAAATAAATTACCTCCCTACATAATGTAGAGAATAGGTATTTTAATAATTTTTAGCAATTTATTTTCTTATTTTATTGGCTTTAAACAAGACGTTTTTGAGAGATAATTTAGCTCCATGTACATTGTTACAATGTGCAAACGTTAAAAATTAATTTGATAAGTGTTGTGCTATTATATATATATGACCTGCAGTAACACTTTAGTCTCTGACGCTAAAGACGTGTTTCTATCATTAGTGGTTTATTTCCCCACACGCACTATTATAGTATAATAATAACATTAATAACGATTAAATGGTGTAAGATAGTGATAATAAATAATAATAATAATTATAAGTCAAATATATTTGCTCATATATTATATTGTATACTCAGCTAGATGACTGTATAATAATTTATAATATACTGTTTACAGTTTTATCGATTATGTAATTCACATATAACTCTTCGCCGCTGTAAGTCACGTTATTTCCGCCGGTTTAGAAACATCAAAGGAATGTTTATATTACTACAATGTTTCGTGATACCATCGCCCCGATAAATATTGTTTTCGTCATTTCTCTAACTGCCGCATCTCCGATATTGTTTTTAACCGTTCTCTCGCGACGGATGCGTTTTGATCGTTCTTACAAATTTCGCAGGTTGCATTCACGTGGGTATAAGGAAAAGGAGCTGGTGCACAAGCTGACGATTATGATGAGAGATGTACAATAATATGCTGTAATATGTATGTTACGTCAGGGGCTTATTTACCTCGTTCTTAGGAGGTTAGGTTAGGTTGTGGAGAGGGAAGACTGAATGAATTGTGACAATGTACATTGTATTTTGTTATTTACATTCGTAACCTCTAATAGTTTTTGATATTTTAATTATTTTTCATTTCATTTAAATTGTGCATAATAATGATAATTAGTCGCTTAAATAAATAAAATTCCATATTATCTTCTATGATAATTATTCAAATTTATAAATTGTATTAATATCGTAAATCGTTTCATTACAACGTCTAGACACACCGGACAATGCAACAAACCAATCTATAAAACTATACATCATCAGACAAAGATAGCATAATTTTATTAGATTCACATACGTATCTAAATTTTAAAATAACAACAGTAATAAGAATATAAAATGTATTTTGTAAATTTTTATTAAATATAAAAATAATAATAATATAAGCATTGTATAATTCTATGAATAATTAAGCCTAAATAAATGCTCTAATCTCACCCCTTGGATTTCACCTTTATATATGCTTTTTGATCAATAAAGAAATTAGACGGTTATCTTTCTAAATGCTATGTCATATACCATTATATTAATTAATTTTCATTTTTTTTATTGTATATTTTAGACAATTTAGAAGACTCACGTGAGACTGGTATCAGACAGTTACTATTCCCCGGCGATTTTTAAGGACTTGTAAAAATAACACCCATGCCTGCAATAGGGTTCATATAGCAATAATATCCAAAGCATTTCAATAAAACAATATAATAATTATACAAGCATCGTATATAGTTACAGTACCTGAGATTCGTGTATATACTTTTACCAACAGGCTATTTGTTTTATGTTAAACTAATATTATAACTTTTAAAATTCCTAACTTATTCCTTCTCTTTTTTAAATCACAAGCCTTTTACATAATTTTTAAAAGTCGTATATTTTTTATCTAAATTCTTAAAATTAGCAGAAATAATTATGTTATGAAATCGATACAAAAAACGGGTTCTTAATTTATTATATACAAAGGGTATACCTATTAGTATACCTTAACGTTAGTATAAAAATCTATATGCTATATAATATATATATTATATTAGATCTTATTATAATTAGTGAAATAAATACTAGATAAATATATAAAAACTGTATTACAAATGAGTAAATAAATATATATAATATATATTTTTAAATAGCAAAATATAGTTATAATTTATTTGAAAATACAGGTAAAAATATATTCTGAACTACATTAAGTTTATATTAATAACTGATAACTAATAATAATGTATATATACACATTTATTTTCAGAATATTAAAAATAATTTAAAATATTTAAGTTTTCTAGTTTTTATTTATCTGTAAAATATTTTATTCATTTTTTTTTATAATAATTCAAAAAGTTTGAAACATAACCAAGGTTAATAAGCTATACAAATAGCTATTTAAAAATAATAAAAATACATGTTCACAATTTTTATCAGAAATGTTAAGCGTTTGAAGTTCAAATATTGACAATTTTCACTATAATCACAAAAATTTGCCTACTATTTGGTATGTAATTCAAAATTAATCAAATTTTTAATTCTAAAAACAATCACTTGAAAATATAATACAAGATTTCTTGTAAGCTATTCTTACTAAAACCTAAGAAATCTCAACATTATAAATGCACAAATTTTTTTTATATGTATTTCAAGTAGGTACAAATCTTGATGCGATTGGATATTTAAATCAAAAATAATAATATTAGCTATATATTTCATAAATAATTCCAAAAATATTATTCATAGGAAATTGAAACTAATAGTTGCGTAAAATATTATTTACTTTAACAATTCAATTTTTTTTTTTTATTCTATGGTTTAATTTAAATTCAACTCATGCATACTACACGTGACCTATAATACTGAATGAAGAATGATGGGTGTTATATTTTTTTTTTTATTTACCAAAATAAATACTATCATTTAGCGTTGGGTTTATTCTGTATACCCACCTGTCAACCTAACTGTTTTTGCCACCATCTCGTTTTAGCCGTGTACTCATTAACGTACGGCGTCTACAAATCACGAACGCAGACCGGGCCACCGAGCAGCAGACTCGTGTCGGGAACAATCACCGCCTGCATCCGAAGTATCAAAAAGTTATTTTTACGATTTTCCGTACACGCATTACAATAATGTCGTATAGCCGGCAGAAATAGGCGCCCATACGCGCGTGTTATAATATTAACTACGGCCTATAAGTACGATGCGGCGCGTTTGTATAATATATTACCTGCTACAATATTGTCGAGACTCGAAATACGTAATAGTATTTTACTATATCATATCGCTCACGAACAATCAATAACCTTTAAACTCGCCTCGTGTAGACTGCAGTCATGGGTACGTACGTGGTATGAGTACACCGAACAGGAACCTCGGAAGTAATACATTTTATTATTGTATATATAATTAAAAATTAACGACGCGCACACACGCGGGCGTGTATGATGTGTTATATAGGAAATACAATATATTATGTTAGACTTACCGTTATTATGTAGCTAGAAGACGTATTGTACGCAACGCGATGCCAACGCGGGTACACGAGTAGTAGGTATACAGGTATATATATATATATATATAAATATAATATACGGCTCTAGGATACCTTATGGGCTATTTTATTGTGTTATGTCGTCGTATAGCGTGTCGACGCGTCGGATTTAATGTTACACAACATCAGAACAACTGCAGAGTTCTGCGGTCTACAGCACCGCAGTCGTTCGTAAAGTATATAATATAATTGTGATCGTTTTGTTATATCACCGCTAAACACTGTGTTTTAGTAAGCGATGAATACACATATATAAATATATATATATACTTATATACACACTGATAAGTTGTTGAACCATCTTTATTGCCGCTATACGATAGTCATGTTTTTAAGGAATAAAAATACTAAACTAATCATAACTTTTCCTAGTTTTCGACCGCAATCATGCACTCGTGCGAACAAAGATTATAACAATGTATTGGTAATGGTCATTGGATATCGAACGCTATGCGCTCGTGTCGTGCGTATGACGAGATATGACTCGTTTGATGAACGTACTGCGCGCCTTGCATCACCAGCTGTTACCGCTGTTACCGTGGTCGTCCTATACTAGAACATCATTTCGGTTTTTTGTTCCGAGTCCGCACTAATGCACTTTAAGGGATGATTAACAGTCGAAAGAATCAAAAGCTTACGAGCACCAACTAGCGATATTACATCTCAACAGCCGCAGAGACAAGTTAATATTATATGATTTGATATCTTCATTGATAATGCATTATTTACAAAAAAAAATGTATATTTTAAAATTATCCTACGTGAAAACACTTCACACATTAATAAGTATGCGTATAAAGTAATTAATTTGACGGAGTATAAGAGCATAATAATATTAAAAGACTAATTATCCACATCACACTCATACACAGTACTTGGGGAGGGAGGAAATAACGCCCCTACCAAAGTATTTCCAAAACACTAAATCGATTAGTAATCCACACTAAACTCCCTGCCGTTAGACGTAGAACGATTGACCTACATGAAAGGAAAGATTTTTTTTAACGCTTAGATTATAAATAACAGATGGTTTAATTTTTAATGTTTTGTGACATTTTAAAATAACGATATTAACGATAAAACATAGTTGCGGGTTAATTAAAAAAAGATTTTTTATTGCTCAAATTAATAAAAGCGATGAGGCACAGCAAATATGTGATTTTAAAATTTACATTTTAGTAAAATAATTAAATATCTAATAAAACTCAGTAAATAGTTTAATAGCTTCTTTTTTTTTTTTTTTGGTTAATTCATTTATGAGGCATTTAGTAACATCTTCAAACCACAATAAAAATATTTGAATATTTTTAATTAATTTGGACTTTTACAATAATAGTACAAAATACACTAAAATAATGACGATTTATAGAAAGATTATCCTTCTACGTCAAATGGGCACGCTACTGCCGCACTACGTACCACACCACTCAGTATCTACAAAGTAAACCTAAATTTTTTATAGAAAAATGTTGTCATTTTAAATGGATTTCACTGCAGCGCCTCAAATGTCACGCATACACTGTAGCACTGCTTTAGGTGAGGATAATACCAATATGTATTATTATTAAACATAAATAATTAATTATTATTCTATGATTTAAATTTTGTGATAAAATTTTACTTTTCTCAAAATTTCTGTTCGAATACCGAACATATTATGTATAGTGCGTTACCTAATTAGTTGTAAAATCAGTAACTATATTTAAGCAATTAAAAAAAATTGTCATTTTTGTTAAGTTATCGAGGAAATTATTAATACAAACATATATATTATTATTATATTGCATTTAAATACCCACACAGTATCGTGAACTATAGGGTTACTGACTTTCCAATATAAATAATTAATATTATACTGTACATTATACATTGCGCAAATTGCTGTCGCAATTTCGGTCTACGGTGTCGTCGGCATTATCATATTTAAACAATTATACGGTGTCGGTACATGACAGACAGTATTTTGTGTATTACAATATCCCGTCGGGCATCGATGATCATTATACAATTTTTATACAAATTATAAGATTCGCGCGTAAACGTTTATTGGAATTTACGATGACGGGTGGTGTAGTGTAGCCGTTTTCAATCGCTGCATTATTGGCTGGCACAAACATGGGTCCACCTGTTGGTAGGTATAAATAAAATCGCATATTTTTTCTCGCACGCATGTATCGCATTCTATTACATACAGGACGTCCGCGGTGTTTACTTTTCAATTCTCATTTACACCTACCCGCCCGTCCATCATCTACAAAATATACATAGGTTCCTCATTTTACTCCTATGCTATATTATATCCAACCTGTATTATATAGGTGCAATATGAGACTTGTTAGGGTCAACTCTATTCGCACGTGTGAACTTGAAATATTAGGTATTTCGATCGCATCCATCACAAATTAGGTTTATAACATGACCAGATTATTATATACATCGAGCAATTAACTGTGCGTGCAGGAGACATGAGTAACTCACAAAACTAGGCTTTCTCTCTCTCTCTTTCTTTCTATATATATTACATATATATATATCGTGCGAGACGACGACTTTTAGATCAATTAAAAAGACATCAAAATAGATATATTTATTAAGCTCCCATTTTTCTTAATCTTTTTTACAAAGACCGTTTTGGCGTTTTATCATTATTTTTAAGTTAAGATTAATAGAAATGCTCACTATAATTGGAGACTTCCCCATTGAAAAGTATTGTAAAAGTACTAGTTCCTCCCTCCCTACCAAAAAAAAAAAAAAAAACGCCCAGTATTGGGAGACGCGTCCTTTAGGAAAAGTTTTACTGTACATAGATTTATAAATTACTAGCTATATTACAAATTTCAAACCCTCATTTATGAGTTAAATTTTTGAAAATTCTTTCTTAGCAGATGTCTACGTCATAACAGTTATTTGTATGCCAAACGTTCGTCCGATCCATCCTGTGAATTGAGCTGTGCGTTGATAGATCAGTCAGTCACGTTTTCCTTTCATATATATAATATATATATATATATGTGTGTGTGTGTGTGTGTGTGTGTGTGTGTGTATGAATCTAAAAAGCATCTATTAATAACCGCGACGTATGACTTCGTGCTAACACAAATTTAATAATTGTTTTCTACAACTTTTTTCATTTTAAACGAATAGTTAGTAATTTTTAGTTTTAATTTACAATACCATGAAAATAAAGTTGTACGATTGAAATGTATCAAACAAAATAATATATTAATATAATTATAGATTTTCGGATAAATGAACCGACGACTGTAGTGTACTTCTGGTAGCCTAACTTTGACGCCGTGTGATATCGTAATATCGTAAATTTAAACGAAAATATTATTATGAATTTAATAAACGTGATTATTGTTTATTTTTAACACAGTTATGATGTTCATAATAATTTAATACACAGAGAATACAAATTATTGAATGCTCTTACGCACTTCATAGTAAGCGCGTATTATCTACAGATGATTCTGATCTAAATAGTAAATACTAACAATGTGTCGATATATACAGATGAGTTATTGTTTCACACATGGTCGTCATTCGTTGAATAGTTTTTCATTATACAATGTAAAACGTATAATAATAAGACACGTACGAACGTATTAAAAAATTTACCGGGAGAAACTTGAGTGTTCGCGGTTTTGATTAAACCGCATAACATCGTATCGGACTTATCGGAGGATAAAATAATACGCGTGCATACAGCGAGATATACATAAATTAAAATAATACCGTAGAAATATATTATAAAACACAGTATAATATAACATTTCAATTAATCGCAATACAATGCTACATGCATTATCCATGATTGTATAAATCATACAAAATGTGTTATACTTATGCGTTAAGGTTAACTATCCGTCGCTATCCCCTCACCGCTCTCTAGAACGGTACTTAACACTACACAGTGGAAAGAGGGTTTTGCGTGTGCACCACAACTGTTATTACCATACTGCCGCCAGAGAAATTAATTATTTCATCACCACCGTATAATAGAATATTATGATATTGTGGTAGGTACTATGATATGCGCATGATAATATAGATCCGGAGATAACGTGTCAGGTCAACGAATCGCAACGGGGCGCGGGCAATCGACCGAATAATAATTAATTATACAACGTGGAAAAATACGTAATAACGGCGGCTGTTGCCTATTACGCCCATACAGTATGTAGATATTTAATAACATATAATATTATACATTTTAATATGTAAATAAACAAATATGAGGTATAAATGGTACTGGATTTCGTTAGACACTGCTTAAATGATAGATGCGGGTTTACTGCAGGGCTAACGCGTGTTCAAAAAGTTTAGAAAAGCGAAGAATATATATTATTAAGTATCTATAGCACGGAGATACGACCCGAAGCCCCCTTTGTTTCGGTAAATGCGCGGTTCAATACTACAATCTAACAATTATTTTTGTATTTTATTTCTTACAATAGTCATACTTAACTGAACTTTGACAAAATTGATCTTAAATTTAAGTTAACACAATACCATTAATAACTAAGAAATTCTTTGTTAGCACACGATTGAAATGAGTTTTAGAAAAAATTACATAATTATAACTCTAGATATTCACGAGTTTACTTCAAAAATAAACGTAATATCTTTTTCGAAATAGTGAATGTCCACTGTTCAAAGAATCCCTCTGTAGTCTATATAAATCACCAAAGCATATACTTATATATTGCGTACGAATAGATCTATTTATACACGATCGAGTGCGGATGTCACTGCATTATAACGATTCGTTTCAGTTTTTCAGCGGGGTGATTGCAAATACCGCGCATTTTGAGTGAGCTAAATTTGACCTTTCGATTGTTTTCCATACCGAGCACAAATTGTTCAACCCAAGAATTAAGTGAAAGTGTGCAGTTTGAGAATTATGCCATATATTCAACAATGACAAGCAGGCACTTGTTGTTTCGACGAAGGTACCACCTAGAAACTACAATACACGGTAAAATATTTAAAAAAGCGATGTTTATAGTATGTGTGTTCTTATAACACATATAAAGTGTACTTTTTAAGTAAATAAATAAAATAATATATATATATAGACACTTTTATATTATAGCACCGATTTATGTTATCTCGTACCACTTAGATTTTAAAAATACAATCAGTAGTAACCAATATTTTGAATTCTACCTCGTCTACACATAAAGAATGTTTTATATCACCTTGTTATATTAATATTAACACATAGAATTAAATGATGTAATATCCATCAGCAACAGTGCGTTTCCACATATCCATGCGAAAAACAGAGAATAACAAACGATAAAAACCGCAAGATTCTCTGAAACGACGCTAAAAGCAGTAATGTGACCAGATGAGAAAATCGTCGAACCATCTCATGTGGTTTTGGTTTCTTATAGGGGCACGGTTTCGTTTTGTATACAAGAGGGTAAATCGCGCGTGATGTTCTTTCGTGAAATTATACGTAAAAAGAAAAAACTTATAAATCAGCCACTAAAGAAGATTTTCGATCGTTAGAAGTGTATAAAAAGTATTACAATGTGTATGTGTAATAGAATTCTGTTGCAGTTGTCGCAACTGACTTCTACTAAAGTACTTAGTACAAAAGTATGGCTAAAAACGACATTTTTTATTTTATTGGTAATTCACTACGTCGTTGAAAAAATATAGTTGTGGTTTTACTATAGGTACATAATAAATAATATATATATCTAACGGTATTATGGTTTTTGCAAACAAGTTTGTAAGGATACACGTAAAATAACATCGTTGAAGCACGAGAAGAAACAAAAACAGAAATATATTATTAAAATTTAATAAATCACCCGCTCTATTTGTTAACAAAAAAAAAAAAAAAAAAAAAATTATAATAATAATAATAATTCACGCAGCTATTACAAATATCATGTTTCAAAAATCTGTGTAATTACATAATAAAATATATATGTTGTTAAATACATGATATTATAGTCCAACCCGTACAAATGATTACTTAAAAACTAACACTCCGAATGTAGGTATGCATTGTGTGTTATTAGGCGTATTTTGAATACAAAATAATATTTATAGTACGTCGATTGAACAATACAGAGATGGATGGAGAAAATAAAATAAAAATAGTGACATAATTACAATACAGCGTGGTCGTTTTTCGGGTTCGCGAAAAAGTACATGACAATTAAGTGCAATTCACATATTATTATAATACACATTTAAAATGTACAAATAATTATTTACATTAAAAAAAAAAAAAATCATTTAAATACGTTATTTACAAAAAGTATTTTCCACGCACACGACCGCGTTGTCGTATTCGTCTTTTACCGCGTTAATATATTATACATAATTAAAAAATAAAAATACACGTCTTTCCGATACATTACATTTTATGACCGTTTAAAGCTGATGTTACGTACTTAAGCCGATAGCGTTCAGCGTGTACGTATGCTTTTAAAAAACATTACCGAATGAGTAAGGTTTAAAAAACGAGTATCATTTATTTTTTCATATCTATAATAAATAGATACGTTATTACAATAAAATATTGGTAAACATCGAATATCAGAGAAAATCGTTTTTATCGTTGGGGAAAAAAATAAAAAAAAAAAAAAAAATATAATAATTATAAGAAAATAAGCGTACTAAAAAAATAAAATAAAATAAAAGTTGGGACACTGAGCTTTCAATCGTCAAAATAAGTAAAAATCAAGCATTTTTCTCACACATACAATAAAAAGAAAAAAAAATTCAGAACTATGTACAATTTTTTTTTTTATGTTTAATCTTCTTGTCTCGATTTCATTGTGTTATGTTATATTCATTCAGTCTCGGTCTCGGGGGGCCCAATTTGAGATCCGGTTATCACGTTAATATAATATATATATATATACAGTGTAAATACATATAAATATAAGGAATTGAGGCAGTCTGCTCCGATCAAACATCACTGAAACACGAGAAAAATCAATTATCACAACATATTATTGTATTATTGTGGTATATGTTAACTAATTTTACTCCATTAGACAGAATTAATTAAAGAAATAATAAATATAACAAAACATAATTGAGGGTCATAACTCTTAAAAATAAAACGCACGTCGTTAAAATAGGAAACCTCTTGTTGGTTACAAAACATCTCTTAGAGCTATAGTATTATATTTTTATTTTTTAGATTTTACTGAAGACTACACTATTGTCATAAAACATAATATTATATTATCTATTAAAAGACATTGACATTATAACCAGTACATCGTCCAGAAACCATACAAATAATGTAATGGGGGGGGGGATGTTATCATTTAAAAAAAACTCTGAGGGCGGAGACAATAAATGAAATAAATCGATACTGTACTATAATGACGTATTCAGTCTAACAACACAATATTGAACTGCAGCTGTCATCACAAAATACATACATAATATACGTATACACACACACACACACACACACACACATTTATATAATTATAATTTATCACCGACAAATATATGGAAATATATTTCACTATCAGCATATGTAATCGGAAATAGCGAAAACTTCATGTTATGAATTGCATTGATATTGTTGACAATTTTAAGTATTCAATTTCAATATGAGAGTTTAAATTACATATGCCAAATTTTTCGTTGGTGAAAAACTAGTAATTAAGCATTTAGTCAAAAATAACACTTCTCATCATATTTATAACATAATTATACGTGAGAAAATTATATATAATATTTAGTTCTTATTTTGGTTATACAAATTTTCCATGGAAATTATTTTATAATTTTTTTAAATAGAGAAAGTAGACTTTTATCTAAATATTGTGTGTATAAGGTTGTCAATAAAAGAAAATGTAGAAAATATAATCGTTAATTATAATTAACAATATTATTTTTAATTATATTAACAATAAATATTATTGTTCTTTGAAAAAATATGACTTGAACTCTAAATTGGTATAAAATAGTATTTATTTTTTTATTCTTTACTATACAAAAATTCTATTAAAAAAGTAATAAGATCAAAAAATATTTCATTGAAATAAACAATACAAATAATATTTGTTTAATGTATAAAAACCTGCGATTTGTTCAAATTTTTGGTTTAATCCAACAAACATTGATATACGCTATTAAAACAATGTACATTGTACAATATGAAATTCGTCATGTTTAAAAATAGAAATTTTTTTTTAAACAATTATAAATGTTAACGCCGAATTTACTATTTTATATTACTGCGCAACGGTACAATATTATCAAGTATCTAACCGTAAACTAATAACAACGAAACGCATATTCTCACATATACATATTATAAAGTAGGTCTTCCAATAAAATTATTCAAAATCAAAACGGTAGTCACGTTTGTGCACATTCACAAACCGATTAAAAATTAAAAACTTTGTTAAAAATATTAAATAAAAATAGAAATAAAACACGTGTATATTTGGATACGTTTCATATCGAAACGGCGACATACATGTATACATAAATGTATATATTTCATAAGATAATTGTTAATTGTACATGCTATGCCGAGATATTATAAAATGTATGTATATATGCATTATGTATACAATATTTATATAGGTACCGGTTAGTCGAGGTGTAGTATGTATATTTGGTGATTCAGAAGAGTTGGACGTTTCTCACAGCCTTACCTCGAGAAACTTTTAAATGCCGCCGACTGGGGATTTATGCACAATGGCACGCGGTGACTGCTCAACTGGTCACCGATAAACTTGTGAAGTTCCTCTGTAAGACATTAAGATTTAGTAAAACGTGTATATGGATACTGTCACCGTAACATTTTCTTGACGAAAATTACAAAAACAAAGTTACCCTATAGGTATACATGCGTACCTTTGACTTGTTGTACGTTTGACATTTTCTTCTCCCATTTGTCATCGAACGTCTGCGGCGCAACCGGTTCATAGTCCATGCAGAAATGCCGGAGACCCGTCAATGGTACCGTGAAACAGCATTTACACATACAACTATGATACCTGAGGCGACCCTCGTCTATATAAGGATGGACTAGTGCGTCCATAACGGACATCCGTTTATCCTGCATGTAATGTAAAGAAAAAACCAGAAGTTAATGAAGAGAAAATGAAAATGTATAGCGGTACATAGCAAAGAGGCTATTTCAAAGGTTTAACTCAAGTTGTATGTATACACTTACCGGGTTGAAAACTAGCATTTGGGAAATCAAGTGAACCGCCTCATGCGTCATCAACGAAGACAAAGAGTACAATAACGACATGGACGGTTTCTTCATGCGTCGTATGAGCATATGGGAACGGGCGGCCGGACACGCGTGGGCCATGTCTTCCATGGTTGGCGTACCGAGCAAGTCCGTTATCAACTCCAACTATAAAAATAAAAAATAAAAAATGTATACATAAGTTAGACTAAGTATGCACACATATAATATTATAATCATTCATACGTCATAGGGTGCGTACACACTTATACTAATAGGTATTATATCACCAAAATGGTTATCATATTTCCCATATCTACAAACACTCAACTATAGGAGTATTTGAGTGACTTACTTGTTGAACCGTGTCTTGGCCTTGGAATAGTATCCGCCGAGTGACGAGTTCGGCGAATATACAACCGACGCTCCACACGTCTATGGCCGATGTGTAGTGTTTGGCTCCCATTAATATTTCCGGTGCCCTATAATATTGCGTTACTACTTCTTGAGTCATGTGTTTCGTCTCATCCGGTTCTTCTACTCTGGCCAGACCAAAGTCACATATCTTAAAACAGAAGAAATGTGAAATATGATATATGTTATAATTGCGTACTTATATTATAAATGTTATAAATCATGTTAATAATTTAAAGGAAAGAACTTTTTCAATTTTTTGCATAAACACGATGCTACAACGTTTGAAAAAAATTATCTACAAAATAGATAAATGAACAAAAAAATTAAAAAAGTATGCGTTTTATCATGAATTTGCTAAAAACAACGGGACGCTCTTGGTGGTCCCAAATTTTATGATAACATTATCATATTATAATGTAGTAGCTTTACGGATTTTAATAATTTTTAACAATTTATGATCACAAGTAGGTACATAGAAATGCTTTTAAAATATTCTCTTTTATAATACCCGGAAATGGCGGAAACAGTATAAACGTACATGGCCAAAGCATAATTTCAAAAACAGGAAAAGAAAACCGAATCAACTATACAAGACAGAGAGAGAACTTAAAACTGTATAACGTAGTTACAGCATTATATACACGAATATCGCGATATAAGTGTATATAGCTAATTTTTATACCTTAATATGAAAAGTTATTTAAATTTTTTCAGGGAATTAAGAGATTTTATAAAAAATGCATTTTTAAACAGTTTTTTTATTATTAATACATGCAGTATTTTCATATATATATACGTATATATATAATATATATAATTTTAATTAAGTTACTACGAAAAAAAAGAAATACCATCCATCGAATCACGTGATGCAAACGACGATAGAACTCAGGCGTGAAATTAAACCGTATTCCAAATTGAAATATAAATTATCATTATTATTATTAAATCTAGACCAAACTGTGAACTCTAATTATGAAAAAAACACGATTTCAACATATCACGAATCAATAAATATTATATTAACGTAAAATACATATATTATACAGTAAAATACTTTTAATATAACTAGACATACATACCTTTAGAATACAATTACTGTTGACGAGAAGATTTCCTGGTTTGATGTCTCTGTGTAATATTCGTGCAGAATGTAAATACTTAAGACCCCTGAGGATTTGATAGAGAAACACTTTTATATGGTCCGGCGACAGCTGCTGCGGTGACACAATAATTTTGTGCAAGTCGCTCTGCATTAGTTCGGTTATCACGTATCTATGAGGATGTTACAAGTCAAGGAAATGAAGAGACGATGATATAATAGACATATATAATATAATGAAATATTGATGTACGCTTTTATAAAGTATAAAAAATAATAAACATACGAGACAGCACTCTTGTTATCCACGTCTAGTTCACTATTATAATGTAAACAAACGACATACGGTGCGGGGGCTGAGTACATGATGACTTTAACATACTGTATTTTTAGAATGATGGATAGATTTTTATAGAACGACACTACCACATGTTTTAAGGGATCTTTTTGTCGTTTTAAAAATAAAAAGAGGGGAAAAATGAGTATTATCGACGACATTACGACAATATTATTAGTTATTACTCAACCGTGGGTATCCAATCTCGGGGACGACGACCGCAGTATATACAATACGAATAGAGTAATGCTAAACGGAATAAAGCTGTAATATCCATTTTATACAGTAGAGACGACCCCATTTTTCATCAAGACTTAAAGTAAATACAAAAATCGAACGCGTCGGAGCTATTTGGTTAATCGATTGCTGCGTCAAGTCTACGACGAAACGTCAGTATTTAATCAAGATCGTATTACCAGACATACATTGTCCGGGGATACTATTATATACTCGTATTCTAACGACGACGCGAGTAGTCTAAATTATAAACTTATTTTATATGTGTCAAACAATAATTATTATTATGCAATATCCGTATGCGAGTACACGTTAATATATTAAGCAATGCCATAAAATTAATGACAGAATTATATAGGTAATAAATAATAATATATTATAATTTATATGATATACATATTACAAACATTACACTATATCCGTGTGCCGAGTATAGCTTTAATTTATGATGATCGCTCGTCAAAAACCGAGGTGAAAGTAATAAAAGAAAAAAAATATGACCGCGTTCAAAATGATTATTATATATATAATATTATATATTATTGTAATAATCCTAGAGATGCAGCTGCTGAAAATTCGAATTTTTAGAGACGAACTAGGGGAAACACAATAGAAACTGCAGCGCGTGCAATGCGTATATATCCTTGACGACGACGGATAAGTATTGTCAACGTTCACTAGTAATAAATTATCTGTACATACTATATACACACTTGATTTGTGTAGTCTTATGATCACGTGGCAATGTATAATCGGAAAACACAAATGAAAAAATACTAAAAAATAACAACAAAATTCCTTAATGCTTTTAAACAATAAGAACTATTATAGAATTTAATATCAATCATTAACACGCGAAGAAACCCGTATATTTCCATGAAATATTGACTTTCTTATTTAAAATAATCGTGTTATCTTGAATGCGCGCGTTTAATCGTTGACGATGAAGACATTATACGAGAATCGAACACAAATCCTCGAAGCACGAATATAAAATTTTTCATCTAAATATATAACATTCAAGGATAAAATAAACGAGTTTAAAAAAAAATTAATAACAATGAAAGACGCGAGAAAAAATATCAGATAATACTATAGATCGTAAAAAAGACATCGTACAACACCAATAGTAATATACGTAATGTAGCACGATACATTGTGATTTTATTCTTCAAAAACTAGTTAATGTGTACATGTTAAATTTTAAGTTTATACTTACAGTTAACTAAACAATTTAACGAGTTAAAATGAATACTTCTCGGTGCTGTAAATAATAAGTGGGTACGATTTAATTTATGTGTAGTAATAGATAAATATATTATATACCAACATTATACAATAGACTAAATGCGTATACACAATGTTGGATACAATAACATTATGTATAGATGTCAATAAAACAGTCACGAGACAAAAATATATTACGCCAAAATCAAGAAAACAGAGCACATTAAAATATATCGGAATAATTTTAAATGTTCGTTTTGAATAATAAGAAAAAAAATACAAAAAGTCAAACGAAGGGTATAGTTATACAAAGAAAAACATTTTATAATAAGAAACTCATGTCTAAATACTATTAGCACATAAGTAAAGAGTAGTCTGCAATTGCAGTGCACCTTAACCTTAACCTAACAAATATATATTTTTCGTAGAGCATGAGAGGTACGTAATATTGAATATACATATACGTATACTATATTAGTTAAAAAATATAAAGCAATGTTAATATGTTTTGGTGGTTTTACAGTAACATTATAAATATATATTATATTAAATAAATAAGACTACCTGAACCAGTTGCCTTCGAGTAAACATTTTAACATGGGTATTTTCTCCCTAAATATCCAACTCCTACAAAACAAAGAGATAGACACCCATGAGGCTGTTATATTTTACTTCTCCCATACGCGATTATAGCCCTCCTCCACTATGTACTGAATACGAAATTTAGGCTACATAAGTATAGTTTTACTTAACAGAAACTTTATCAAAAGTCGAATAAACCGAATAGGGCCCATATTAAATAAATACCAGCGCGAAGAATTTATTGCACATTTGGTTGCCATCATAATATATTGTTATATTGAACGGGAGGACAAAACGAACTAAAATATTTTATACAAGGGGAACGCACGATATTATACTCTGACGACTTGCCAAAAAGAGAGAGGGATAAAGATATATATGAAAGCTATCAGCCAACGGCGGTGATCCAGTGTAATGAATGGGAGCGGGAAAAAAATCCATAGAACGTTTTGAAACAATGTACCATTATTGCATATATGTACATAAATATTAAATGCTTAGTTTAATACAACAATCGTTTGAATCGATTTTCAATTAAAAGTGACGCAATATGGACAAAACTATATTTATGTGTATACAAAGAAAAGATTAACGTCGTACCTAAGCATTCAAAATAGCAATTATCGATTAAATGCGAATAAAATAGATACATTTATATATATATATATACTATTTCGGCTGTAAAGTTTATCTAAATTGTACGCTTGTAATAAATGTATGACAAAAAAATATAATCTGTAGGCGTGAAGCAAGAAAAAATATATAAGATTCACAAGACGATGTCCGCAGTCCAAAAAAATCGAGTATTATATGCTACACCACCGCCACGTGATGACTACCTCGGTTCTTCAGAGGGGGTAAGTAAGAGTGCGAGATTACTAACGCGCACGAACACAGCTACAACTCGCCCCTTTACTTAATGCACGCACAAGTAGCATAATATATAAGGGAGGGCCTGTCGAAAAAATCGAAGGACGTCCGATCGTAAACAAACACAATCTATAAATACGAGTATACCTTTAAAATTACATAAGTACTTGAAAATTTTACAAGCAAGCAGTTTTCAAATAATCATATTGAATGTAGACAGTTAAAAACGTTCAAAAATCAACCATAATTAGAAATTAAACATGTTTTCACGTTTATGTACACTTATAGAAATGAGCCGATCAAAGTTTTATTATGACTATTATACTACTATAATACGACAACGATATAAGTGAAGCTCGTAAGTAACGCATACATGACGCTGAGGGGACGAAATAACAATCAGTGGCAGAGAATTATTTTTTAAAGGGTAGTCGTTGACTATAAGTGTTGCGTCCGGTTTACTAGAGACTGGATGCGGGACGTGTATTTTATTCATAATATATTCGCAAAGTTAATACCGTTGTAGTTAGTACCGTACACACACACAAATATATATATACATTGTGCACAAACGTACAAACTACACGTTATAATAATTCAATTTCCGTCAGTTTTCTACACACATGCCTCTTTGTGTATGTATGCAATGTACGACGCAAAAACACATTTTAATTGCCCAAATCTATTTGTATTTCAACAACACGTGGATAGAGAAGACTTGTGTAAATCACTCAAATAATTTTTAAGTTAATTCACTGATGATGAGTATACAAGGGGGAGAGATTGAGAGAGAACACTATGGGCAGAGTGCAGGGAGGTAGGCGAGGGCACGAAAGAGGAGACAATGTCATATAACCACGCATGTGGCCGTTTTCAACTTGCAGATTGTAAATATTGAATATTAGTGCGCCATATGCATAAATGAACAAATAAACCAAATATTAAAATTTTTATGGAACACAACCGGATAAAATTGTAAATAGCCAAGATTGATGACCTTATTTTACTAAAATATCTACGTATGTGTATCATTGAAACTGTAAGATACGTCATGTATTCAAATGTGAGCTTAAGATGCAATAATCGTATTTTACGTTCTTTAAAATTTTTAAACCCTATAATTAAACAAAGAAACGTTAAAAAAATAATAATATTATTTATTGATTACCTACTGAAATTATGTCACATTATATATTATAAATGTTCCACAGACTATACGAAGATGTTCGCAATGAGTAATAAGTTGTTGTTGCAATGATTCGAACCCAACGAGTTTCTCAACAATAAATATGCGCAAATACTTCATGAATTTGAACGTGGCAATAAGTACATATATGCTGAGCATTTTTAATTCAACGCAATTTAAAGTACACCTCTTAAGAATGTCCATTCAGTTATCTAGTGAACTACACAAAACTCACGACAATAATAACGGTTGAAAAAATAACTAGAAACAAGATTGTATGGCGCAGTTAAAGTGGTTAAATTACTTTAAAAAAATATTTACTAGTTAACATTTTAATTTGATTAATAATTTACAATACATAGAATAAATTATAAAATTAACTATCAAATAAATTCAATATTCTGGTCCCACGAATGCAGTCAAATCATAATATAGTATACAAACGTAATAATAAATCTAAAATAACTCTTTAATAAAGAAAAAATATGCGTTGGTGATTTTTTTCTTTTACTTACTAATTACGTTAACTAAGTATATGATTATAAAACGTTTAACGTGGACGTGGACGCGACGATTTTATTGTGTACATACATATACATAGCACACATATTATGATGATGAATATTGTACTATGGTGCGATAAATAAAAATTCTAATAATTTTACGAGGTAGGTACGTATAACACGATAAACAACAGTCAATAACCTTCCGACGGTTAAAGTAACGTTAATTGA